CCCACACTCACCGCATGTCCCTCGTGCTTGATCTGCACATCTTTCGCCAGTGGCACACCCTGCTTCCCAAGCTCCGCCGCCCGTGCCGCGGGCACGCACCCAAAATAGATGCAACCTGCCCTGGAGAAAAGTCCTGGGCCCTGGCAACGAGTGCTGTTCGATGCGGTGGACCCCCTTTTGGGTTGGTATTTGAAGGGAAGCTAAAAGAAAGCCAACCATTTCGGAGCCGTCGCAACATTCATATTGCAAGCCGGAATGCTGATACGCCGGCTCGCAAATGCTTTCCGACACGCTTGTTGGGAATATGTGAAGATCAGCCAAGCTTGCAAGGCGCGTTGCAAAAGCTGTCTACGTGGCCTACATGGGTCATTGCAGTCTGTCCGTCATGCCCATGGATGCAGTCTCTCTCTCTCTCTCTCTCTCTCTCTGTCTTTCTGTCTCTCTGTCTCTGTCTCTGTCTCTGTCTCTGTCTCTGTCTCTGTCTCTGTCTCTGTCTCTGTCTCTGTCTCTGTCTCTGTCTCTGTGTCTCTCTCTCTCTCTCTCTCTCTCTCTCTCTCTCTCTCTCTCTCTCTCTCTTCTTCTCTCTTTTGCTTCATGATTGTATCTCTGTATCTTTTTCTTCACTGCTTGCGAAAAGGCGCCTGCCGCGAAATCGGTACCTGACCTTGCCAAAGCCGCGAAGTCTTGCGCCTTACCTTGCGAAAGTGCTGCACCTGCCGCGAATCTGCACCTGCTGCGCAACCTGTACCTTGGAAAAGTCCTGCGCTTGCCACGAAATCTGTACCTGACCTTGTGAAAGCGCTGCGCCTGCTGCGAAAGCTGTACCGCACCTTGCGCCTGCCGCCAGATGTGTACCTGACCTCGCGAAAGTACTGCGCCTGCCACAAACTCTGCACCTGGCCTTGCAAAAGTGCTGCGCCTGCCTCGAAGTGAATAAGTTTGTTTGATCCCTATTTTTTTGGATCCTCTGATGTTTTTAATAGTAAATCAATGAAAACATTTTTTTAACCCTAACAAGCTTTTTGACCCCTAAAAAGTTTTTTTGATCCCCAATAAGTTGTTTGATGCCTATCCCGCGCGCGTGCGTGCGCGCGTGTGTGCGTGCGTGCGAACGCGCGTGCGTGCGTGCGTGGGTGGGTGGGTGCGTGAGTGTGCGTGCGTGTGTGGGTGCGCGAGTGCGAACGTGCGTTGTGCAAGTGCGCGTGCGTGCATGTGCGTGTGCGTGCGTGCGTGCGTGCTTGCGTGTGTGGGTGTGTGGGTGTGTGTTTGTGTGGGTGTGTGTGTGTGTGTGCGTGCGCGCGCGTGTGTGTGTGTGGTTGGTGTGTGTGTGTGTGGTTGGTGTGTGTGGTTGGTGTGTGTGTGTGTGTGGGTGTGTGTGCGTGTGTGTGTGTGTGCGCGCGTGTGTGCGTTTGTACGCGTGTGTGCGCGTGTGCGCGTGGGCGCGTGTGCGCGCATGTGCGCGCATGTGCGCGCGTGTGCGCGTGTGTGCGCGTGTGCGCGTGTGCGCGTGTGCGCGTGTGCGCGCGCGTGTGCGCGTGCGCGTGTGCGTGTGCGTGTGCGTGTGCGTGTGCGTGTGCGTGGCGTGTGCGTGTGCGGGTGTATGTGTGTGTGTGTGTATGTGTATGTGTATGTGTATGTGTATGTGTATGTGTATGGGTGTGGGTGTGGGTGTGGGTGTGGGTGTGGGTGTGGGTGTGGTGTGTGTGTGTGTGTGTGTGTGTGTGTGTGTGTGTGGGTGTGTGTGTGTGGGTGTGTGTGTGTGTGTGGTGTGTGTGTGTGTGTGTGTGTGTGTGTGTGTGTGTGTGTGTGTGTGTGTGTGTGTGTGTGTGTGTGTGTGTGTGTGTGTGTGTGTGTGTGTGTGTGTGTGTGTGTGTGTGTGTGTGTGTGTGTGTGTGTGTGTGTGTGTGTGTGTGTGTGTGTGTGTGTGTGTGTGTGTGTGTGTGTGTGTGTGTGTGTGTGTGTGTGTGTGTGTGTGTGTGTGTGTGTGTGTGTGTGTGTGTGTGTGTGTGTGGGTGCGTGTGTGCGTGTGTGCGTGTGTGCGTGTGTGCGTGTGTGCGTGTGTGCGTGTGTGCGTGTGTGCGTGCGTGCGTGCGTGCGTGTGTGCGTGCGCGCGTGTGAGCGTGTGCGTGTGCGTGTTTGTGTGCGTGCGCAAGCGAGTGCCCGTGTGCATGCGCGTGTACGTGTGCGCGTGTGCGTGGCGTCCGCGTGTGCGTGTCCGGGTGCGTGCGCGGGTGCGTGTGCGTGTGCGTGTGCGGGTGCGGGTGCGGGTGAGTGTGCAGGTGCGTGTGCGTGTGCGTGTGCGTGCGGGTGTGTGTGGGGGTGTGGGTGTGGGTGTGGGTGTGGGTGTGTGTGTGTGCGTGTGTGCGTGTGCGTGTGTTTGTTTGCTCGCTTGCTTGTTTGTTGGACTGTTAGTTTGTTTGTTAGTTAGTTAGTTTAATTTGTTGGTTAGTTGGTTTGTTTGTCAATTTGTTAGTTGGCTTGCTCGGTGGTTTCAGATAAGACAAACAATGATTGCCAAGGGCAGTTCCCTTTGTGAGCATGCGTCAAGGCAGGTCGTCTCCCAGCTTTGAGGGGCTGCGCTCGAGAGACAGGGACTGCCTCCGGATCACCACGTTCACGGCATTGGCGAACAGATTTGGATGTGAGATACCTGAGCCAGGCAGCTCTGCAGGGAAAACGCCGCAAGGAGAACGGTCAAATGCTGACCCCCCGTGGATGATGTTTGGCAATGGCTGGTTGCCATAAAGATTACAATAAGTTTCTGCAGGCAAATTTCGCTGCAGCTGTTCAATTGCTCGGTGATATGCATCGGACACTGCGGCTCTCCCCACTGGTTGACGTCCACTTTCGTCAGTCCAGGTCACTTGGCCATGTCCTTGTTCTTTGACCCTCCCAAATGGTTTTTATTTACCCTTTGGTTTCCTATAAAAAAACCCACACCCAAAACGGGCCACCCTTTTGTCAACCCACCCAACCCTTTTGTTTCCTTCAATGCCCCTAGCACACCTGGAGTCATTCTCCCGCTCGCCACTCAGCCGCCAGCCGACTCGTGCAAAGGCTTCAAGCGAAGTCGCCAGCTCCTGAAAGGCTTCGCAGAGGTCAACCCAGGGATCCGAACATGAAAAACACCTGAACATTGCCTTGTAAATGGTGGTGTCCCTTTATTGTGCTGGAAAAAGCCATGTTTCAAATGGCTGCAAAATGTATCTTTTAAGGAGCCCTGAGTAGTGTCACCCCTATTAACATGGGGGGGTGTCCCTGCGTCGCTTTGGAGCGGGCCAAGCAGTCTCCTGTACATGACACATGGGCGAGTCCCTGGTTTTATTCCTCCATTTGCGTTTTTGCCCCTGGAAAAAGAGAAAGCATGTCCAGTAGTGAACTCGATTCCCTTTAAAAACCAACAAGGCAAAATACAAACCTAGAAAGCAAATGCAAGTGCCCCTGGTTTTAGTGAGGGCTCATCACTTTGGAGTGGCAGACCTGTGTCTGTTGCTTACCAACAAGCGCTCAGGGACAGGCCTTGACAAATGCATTCGGGCCTTCAATGGAGCGCCTCTGTAAACTTTCATTCATCATGTTTTTCGGTCCCTTGCCTCTTGAGCCGTCCTGAGGCTTGAATCGGCACTGCCACACCAACTCGAATGCTGACCAGCCAAGGGCCTGCGAGTTCCGAGTTCAGGCATCCAGCAAAACTTTCATTCGGCCCCAAATGTAGGGAAGTGTTTATGCCCAAAGTTGCCAACATCGAACGCATATTGACCCTCATGTCCATCCAAGTTGGACAAGGTGTCTGCCTTGGTGCCGCCTCACATCCCACGCCTTGAACAGCTCTTCGTGTGCAATTTTCTGCTTGCCATAGGCCCACAGTGTATTGCTGATCTCCTGGCGATGTGAACACCTGCCAAAAGAGTTGCTCTGCACTACTTTTGCCATGACCAACGAGGGTTCAATCAAGCATGCCTGTGCACGAGGCCAAAATCAGCTTTTGGCCAAGGCTCGGACCGCCATGAGGATTGAAGAAACGGGGCTGGTTCAGGGTTGCTGTTCACTGCTAGCGTTCCATGCGGGGAAATCTGCAATGCATCTTCCGGCAACCCGGTTCCGCTCGCCAAACCTCAGAGTGGGGTCCACAGACAGTAAGAGGGGTGCTATGAATTAGTCCTGCTGGGTTCCAAGCATTTTCCAAAGCTCACTCAAGATTGGCAAGCAGCCGTTGTTGGGTGTGAGAAGAAATCTCGCCTTGTGGCTGGTGATGCTCAAACTTCGAACTCGAGTGGAGAAATCTTAGATCCCAATAGAAATCCCACTTTGTACGAGTACCCGTGCATCTGATCCATGCATCTTTTTCACACCTTGACAGAGTCAATGGTGCCCCCTGACTCAAACACTCCCATGAGTCCCCAAAAAACAAGCCCTGCCCCGATTCAGCCAATTCCATGGCCCCAAAAACCAACGCGCGGTTCAAAAAAAACATCCCTCCCAAACCGAAAAAACGGCCCATGTCTTGGGTTTTGGGTGTCGGCGGTGTCCCTTCCCGCCCTCCTGCGGCTTGAGCAGAGTCGCCTGGCCGGACATCTCCTGGCGAACCGGACATCCTCTGCGCTCACTTCCCGCCACATGGGCGCGCCTTGTTGGAGGAGACCGGGCCCCGGTGTCGTTCTTTAAGGGAAGCCAACAGGAAAGCGAAGAGATCCAGTTTGGGGGGGCTACAAAAAGACACACCCGAGTTGATCCGAAATGGAACGATTGGCCGATTGCCGGTGTTGTGGGAGGAAAGAATTGCCGATCCATCTCCATGAATGTGGGAATTGGAGAAGGACATAACTTGCTGGTTCTCAGCAGGGAATGAAGGAATGACCCTCATAAAACCGATCCCTTCGGTTCCCGATTCATTCCCTCATTCCCTGAGCACCAGCAAAAAATAATGGCTTAGCTGAAGTCACCCGTCCTCTGCCAGGCTCCTGAACAAATCCTCGTCGCGCCATTTCACCGTAGTGAATGACCTGGGCAAACTCAGACATCCAGTCAGAGCTGTTGGATGATCACTCGTGCGGGATCGGGAACCGAAGGGGACCACAAGGAAAACCAGCATTTTCATTTTGGGGGAGGGGTCCTCCTTGTTTAAGACACACCCATATGTGTATATATATATATATATATATGTATATATATATATATATATATATATGTGTATATATATATGCTACCCCCCCCCCCCCCACCCAAATGTCGACTTGTTTGATGATTTCAATGGTATTTGCGGTGTTTTATGCCTTTGTTGGTGCTTTGGGGAAGCCGCAAAAATAGGTGCCTTACTAAAGTCTATTCAGATTCTACCCGGGAAACAAAACATCCTGGGAAGGAAGTCCTCTTTAGAATCTAATTTGAAGTCAGCATCACAAGTAAACATACTGTTCCAACAGGAAATCCTATATACATCATCTTCAACAATAGAAGTTGTATTAGGATGTTTCACTGCTAATGTCTATCTAGATTCATTGGAGATCTTTCTCCTAGAAAAAGAGACCCGCTTCAAAGTCGAACTTGAAACAATAATTCCAATTAAGAATATTGGTTTATAAAACGCCTACTGAAATTCTCGTTAACACTAGACACTCTACCAGAAAGATGTCCTTATTAAATTATATGCAATTTCTGATCCAAACTACAACTACAACACGGTTTAAATTCCAATTTCAATTTCGACTTTGAACCGGGCACCTATTTAGATTCTCTTTGTACTAGAAATCGTACGAGGATTAGTCTCACTAAACTCCACTTTAGAATTGAAAAAACATATCCTGGAAAAAGAGACCCCCTTTAGAATCTAATTTGACAAAAATCAAAATTATATGTTAAAACGTTTTCAATTTATTTGATTGATCATAATTTAACATAATATCCCAATGACATATTTCTAGTAGAGTTTCTGGGTTTAACGATAATTTAGATAGGCTTGGTTTAAAAGAAGGGCTGTAATTGGGTTTATTACAAGTCTTCTTTGAACAGGAAAGCCTTTTTAGACTCTCTTTAAACTGGAACATCCTACTAGGATTGTTTCCTTACTAGAAAAGAAGACAAGGACACCGCCTTTAAAGTCTAATTTGACATCAACATGCCAATTTAAAAAATACTCCTTGAAAGGGATATTTTCAGTAGGTATTTGCAGCGTGTTAACTGCCTTTTTTGGGGCTTCGGGAAAGCAGCAAGAAGCAGAGCACATGTCCAAACACAATCTGCAAGCTTCAGGTGAAACACTTTTCCAGCGAATCTTGAATCCAGGCCCGAATGGAATTTTAGTGGGACCTCTGTCCTATTTCTAAGCCGAGGTTTGGTCAGAAGATGCCTAAAACAACAGCAAAGAAGAGCGTTTAAACCATTGAAATCCTTTCTGAGAGGAAAGGTCCCTCCCCAAGGGGGCCCTAAACTAATTAAAGCCTTTTTCAGAGGAAAGACCCCAAGGCCTAAAACCGTTTAGGCCGTTTAAGCGTTTCAGCCCTTTCTCAGAGGAAAGCCCCCCCATCCCCCCTACCCCCCAAGGGCCAGGGCCCCAAAACCGTTTAAACCCTTTCTCAAAGGAAACCCCCCCCCTCCAGGGTTCTGACCAAAACCGTTTAAACCGTTTAAACCGTTTAAACCCTCTCTCAAATGAAAGCCCCTCCCCGCCCCCCCCCCAGGGTTCCACCTGAGAGAGGGTTCAAACGGTTCAAACGGTTCAACCGGTTTAAACGGTTTAAACGGCTTTGGGCCCAGACCTTTCCTCTGAGAAAGGGTTCAAATGGGATAGCTGGAGAGTCTTTTTCCTTTTGCAGAGAGGGAAGTAGGCATCACAGATGAAGACAGACAACAAAGGTCGACAATTGGGGGGGGGGCACCATATATATATATATATATATATATACGTACCTATGTGTATAATAATTTACGGAAGATGAAACAAGCAAAAAGATGGATGGTTTACATGCAGCGGTGTCGGCTGAAGGCTGGGTGGCCGGCCAGGATGCCACTGAAAGGCATTGAACCTGGCCCACGTCGGCTCAAGCTTCGCATGCCACGCGCGCGAACCTACGGCCGAATTCGTCGCATGTGTTTGGCGGCGCAGGTATTTTTGACAACAAAGCGTACACACGCTTTGAATACCCAAACCTACGACCTGCATGTAGATAAATATCTGCAAGATACAGAAAAATGGGTATGTATCAAAATAGGGCGACCTCGGAAAATGGGTTCTCTTAAAAGACCCTTAAAATGGTTCCCTCAAAAGAAGGGTACGTCTTTTTTGCGGGTACCCCTTTTTTGGGGCTGGTTGTTCACGGGAAACCAAAGGGAAAAACCACCCATTTGGCAAATTTGGGGGGTCCCCAAAATGCCAAAATAGAGATTCCGAAATTCCGAGCGAACCAGAAACTGTTCCAGAGCTGCCAAGGCTGCCAAAAAGAAAACGCTACGCGCCGAAGACGTCTGGACATCGCGCCTTGAACTCCCACTTGGCCCTGGCTCGGAGCCGCTCAGCCACCGCCCTGGGCGATAGGACTGCAAGATTCACACAACGGCGGCGGACATGTGGGTCTTTTTTGGAGGGTACCCCGTTGTGCCCTGTTTTGAGGGGAAACCAACGGAAAACATCAGTTTGGTGGGCCCAAAACAAGACAGACCCGTGCCATCTTCAGATGTCCAGGTTTGCTTTGCCTTGGGCCACCTTTCACCACAGCACTCCACTCCGCCGCGCCTGAAGAGCGGAGCATTCCACTCGTTGAGCTTCGCATAAGCCCAGAGCATATTTGTGACTTCGTACGGCTTGAACCTAGCGCATCGGGCTTGGTGGATCTCACATCTTTGAGGGCACCACCCAAAAACACACCCCAAACGCGCGGGGTTCGGAAAAACTGAAATGGACAAAGACGCGTTCAGCGCGGTGTGGTTTTTTTTTGCGGACATCCCAGTACACCTGCCAGCATCGAGACCTCAGGCAGGCACCCATCTAAATGCGGCGTAGCCAACTGGCCGGGGCCAGGGTCGACACGTCGCCGCATTCAGTGAATCAGAATCATCATACTGCCAAAACGGGGCTGATCAAGCTTCCCTTCGGCCCCCAAATGACCACTGGGAAACTTGCCCCGTTTTAGTGGGAATCTCATCTTTTTAGTGGTTTCTCCCAACGATCATCCCATGTACAGGACCTTTGGATCAGCCCCCAAAGCAGACCTTACCGGCACAATGAGCCCTCACACCCAGATACACAAACATGAAGCATGTTGCTCACTGTGACTCATGGGCTAGTGAGCTGCAGTAAAAATACCTACATGCGAGTGAATCTGAGGAACGAATCAGCGCATGAGCCAGACTTTTGTAGAGTCACGTCCAACAAACAACTCGCCGCTTCTGTGGCCGAACCACGGTGCCTAAATTCCCAACCTTGTTCAGTTAAACATTGCTTGTCCAAGGTTGATCGCATCTTGGGGTCACACGCCATGGAAAATGCGAGGCCCGGCCTCCGCTAAAGTTTGGAGTAGAGCCCGCTCTTTGAGGTTAAGCCATGCCAATGACCAAGCGACGATGCTCGCGCACCTGAGAGAACAATGTCTTCGCATGCTGGCAAAAGGAATCAATAAACTGGCTGTGCAACCTCTATGATACAAAGAAGAAAACATAGCATCTTGCAGGCGACAAACAAACCAACACAAACAAACAACCAAATCAAGCAAACCAACAAACAAAACAAGAAAAAATGTAAAAACAAACACGCATTACATTACATTACAGTACATTACATTACATTACACTACATTACATTACCTGACATGACATGACATGACATTACATTACATACATACATACACTACATACATTACACACATACACACACACACACACACATACATACATACATACATACATACATACATACATACATACATACATACATACATACATACATACATACATACATACATACATACATACATACATACATACATACATACATACATACATACATACATACATACATACATACATACATACATACATACATACATACATACATACATACATACATTACATACATACATACATACATACATACATACATACATACATACATACATACATACATACATACATACATACATACATACATACATACATACATACATACATACATACATACATACATACATACATACATACATACATACATACATACATACATACATATACATACATACATACATACATACATACATACATACATACATACATACATACATACATACATACATACATACATACATACATACATACATACATACATACATACATACATACATACATACATACATACATACATACATACAAACATTACATACATACATACATACATACATACATACATACATACATACATACATACATACATACATACATACATACATACACATACATACATACATACATACATACATACATACATACATACATACATACATACATACATACATACATACATACATTACATACATTACATTACATTACATTACATTACATTACATTACATTACATACATACATACATACATACATACATACATACATACATACATACATACATACATACATACATACATACATACATACATACATACATACATACATACATACATACATACATACATACATACATACATACATACATACATACATACATACATACATACATACATACATACATACATACATACATACATACATACATACATACATACATACATACATACATACATACATACATACATACATACATTACATACATACATACATACATGTACATACATACATACATACATACATACATACATACATACATACATACATACATACATACATACATACATACATACATACATACATACATACATACATACATACATACATACATACATACATACATACATACATACATACATACATACATACATACATACATACATACATACATACATACATACATACATACATACATACATACATACATACATACATACATACATACATACATACATACATACATACATACATACATACATACATACATACATACATACATACATACATACATACATACATACATACATACATACATACATACATACATACATACATACATACATACATACATACATACATACATACATACATACATACATACATACATACATACATACATACATACATACATACATACATACATACATACATACATTACATACATACATACATACATACATACATACATACATACATACATACATACATACATTACATTACATTACATTACATTACATTACATTACATTACATTACATTACATTACATTACATACATACATACATACATACATACATACATTACATTACATACATACATACATACATACATACATACATACATACATACATACATACATACATACATACATACATACATACATACATACATACATACATACATACATACATACATACATACATACATACATACATACATACATACATACATACATACATACATACATACATACATACATACATACATACATACATACATACATACATACATACATACATTACATACATACATACATACATACATACATACATACATACATACATACATACATACATACATACATACATACATACATACATACATACATACATACATACATACATACATACATACATACATACATACATACATACATACATACATACATACATACATACATACATACATACATACATACATACATACATACATACATACATACATACATACATACATACATACATACATACATACATACATACATACATACATACATACATACATACATACATACATACATACATACATACATACATACATACATACATACATACATACATACATACATACATACATACATACATACATACATACATACATACATACATACATACATACATACATACATACATACATACATACATACATACATACATACATACATACATACATACATACATACATACATACATACATACATACATACATACATACATACATACACATACATACATACATACATACATACATACATACATACATACATACATACATACATACATACATACATACACATACATACATACATACATACATACATACATACATACATACATACATACATACATACATACATACATACATACATACATACATACATACATACATACATACATACATACATACATACATACATACATACATACATACATACATACATACATACATACATACATACATACATACATACATACATACATACATACATACACATACATTACATACATACATACATACATACATACATACATACATACATACATACATACATACATACATACATACATACATACATACATACATACATACATACATACATACATACATACATACATACATACATACATACATACATACATACATACATACATACATACATACATACATACATACATACATACATACATACATACATACATACATACATACATACATACATACATACATACATACATACATACATACATACATACATACATACATACATACATACATACATACATACATACATACATACATACATACATACATACATACATACATACATACATACATACATACATACATACATACATACATACATACATACATACATACATACATACATACATACATACATACATACATACATACACATACATACATACATACATACATACATACATACATACATACATACATACATACATACATACATACATACATACATACATACATACATACATACATACATACATACATACATACATACATACATACATACATACATACATACATACATACATACATACATACATACATACATACATACATACATACATACATACATACATACATACATACATACATACATACATACATACATACATACATACATACATACATACATACATACATACATACATACATACATACATACATACATACATACATACATACATACATACATACATACATACATACATACATACATACATACATACATACATACATACATTACATACATACATACATACATACATACATACATACATACATACATACATACATACATACATACATTACATACATATATACATACATACATACATACATACAATCACATCACATCACATCCCATCCCATCACATCACATCCCATCGCATCGCATCGCATCGCATTGCATTACATTACATACACACCAGACAGACAGACAAACAAACTGACATACATACATTACATACATAAATGACGTAACATAACATAACATAACATAGCAAAACATTCCATTCCATTCCATTCCATTACATTCCATTACATTACATTACATTACATACATACATATACATACATATACATACATACATACATACATACATACATACATACATACATACATACATTCATACATACATACATACATACATACATACATACATTACATACATACATACATTACATACATACATACATACATACATACATACATACATACATACATACATACATACATACAACATACATACATACATATATATATATATATATCAGGTCTTCCCTCGTTTTTGATCCTGTCTGGAGATCGCTGTGACCTTGAGGCACAATTGTGGGCTCAGTCAGCGTCTGTGTGCGTGCGTGCGTGTGTGCGTGTGTCGTGTATATTGGGCCAGCGTGTTTCTTGTTTGGAGTACGCACAGAATGCTTCCGCAAAACAAACGTGCTCCAACAGGAGCAAAACAGTGACCTTTGCGCTACGCTTCCATGGAGCATCCGCGACAAAGGCCATGTTGATGTGCCGATATCGGTTCCCACACTGATGACTCATGACTCGAGACTATCGCATGCACGCAAAAAAAAAGGACAAATCTGCATTGAGTCATGTGCTAAAACTTGGCAAAGCGGGCTGTCCAAACCAGCAGGGTGCTCTCTCTTGAACCTTTGCTGGGGACACAAAAAAAAGACATGATGTCCACCAAGGGGTGGAATGAAAAATCACGTCCTGCTTGACCTGGTGTTTTTAGATGAGACGACCAGCATCCGAGCCGCTGCGCGGGCATGCCCGAGTCACCGTCGCTCTGCTTGCCTGCCTTGCGCGAATGCAAGCTTGACGAGATTGTGTGCGCTGGGTCATGCTAGTCGCTGTGCTGGGAGGCAAAGCGTTCTGCATGAAATGCTGACCCAAATGTTCTGGTGAAGGAGTGGTGGCGTCAATTTTCCGACGAGCAAAAAAGGCCAAGAATTCGGACGCCTGTTGAATGCAGTCAGGCAGTCCCAAAGACTGTAATCAGCAATGGTCAACAGACAGAAGCTTCCCAGGAATTCGTGCATGTGCAGTGAGCATAAGACTCTTTGCCAGGCGACCCCGCTAAGACAAGTTGTTCGAAGCAAACAAACGCGCATCCAGCCTCTCTCTCAGCCACAACTTCCATGGCCCGCTGCCTCACTGCTTCCAACAAGGCCTCAGGCGATAGCGGCGGAGCCGATGGATGGTATCTGCTATCCAGCCATCTGAGGCTGAGATCAACCTCTCCCAAGGTGGAAACGAGCCATCGAGAGATTCAGATGGCGATGCAAAAGATCCTTCTCGGATCCCGGCCGGGAAGGCAGCGTGGGAGGTGACCTCACTGAGAGCCTCGCCGAAAACATCCGCCCCACGCAGAGGGTGGATCAATCTTCCCTTCCCCCAAAAGGCCATGGATAATTTATCCCAGTTCGTGGGACATGTCATCTTTGCTGTGCGGAAATCCGCAGTGGTGGTCTAGTTGCATTGCATGTAGCAGGGGCCCGCATGCCGATTGCCCCGTCTTTTTTAACTTGGCAATTCCGTGCCCGGATGCAGCCTGCGCTCCTCCAGGCAAGCCTGCCTGCAGCTCGGGCCGTCCATGCTTTGCCCAAAAGCAGAGTTCGGTTGGATGTCACGATCTGAGTTTCCTGGGCAACTTCAGCAACTTCCAAGGCAACGGGTGGCCTTCAAACATCCCTTATGCATGGCCAACCAAAGTGACGAAAGGCAAGGGCGCAGCTCGAGCTGCTTTTGTTCCTGAAGGTGAAGTACGCTTCTGCTGCTTCTGACACCCCGAATGGGTGTTTCCCTTGGGGATCCCGCAGAATGGCTGCATTCCTTCTGGTCTCCCTTCAAATACCAACCATGTGGGGTACACAATTTTGAGAAACTCCCGCACTGCCTGTGTCTATCGCGATGCGGCCTCGTTGTTGGCAAAGTCCCGGGCGAGGCGATGAAGCGCCGTCGCCAGGTTCACTCCGTTCCTCACGTTCGACTTGAGTCATAATCAAAACCGATCAAATCGGTATTATAGTGCCTACCCAGAACCATGTAAGAGTTAAAAAAACAAATTACACCAGCATAGACCCCAGATAGCACACCACGGCTACGAACCATGACGCAGCATCACATTGGTTCCCGCGGCATGATGATGTTGACAGCATCTTGGTGATGTTGACAGCATCATGAAAATACCACAGCTACTCAGCATAGTGCGCTACATAGACGCGCAAACAACGCCCTAGTGAGTCCATCAGCAAAACGATGATGTTGACAGGATGATGCTGATACACCAGCCGCGAACGATTCCGCGCTACATATCTAGCAGAAAAAAGGCAGAGACGGCGTCCTGATGAGTTCGACAGCATCACGATGATGCGGACAGCATCATGGTGACGCTCACAGCATCATGGTGATGGCAAAGGCAGCATCCTGATGACGCCACAGCCACGAATCATCTTGCGACAGTGTAATGCGGCATCGCAGCGATTGCAGCAGCATCATAACGTGGTTGACAACATCATGATGATACACCAGCCACGAACCATTACGCGGGACAGGTAGAGAAGCAGCAACATCCGAATCGGTTCAACAGCATCATGGTGCTGCTGACAGCATCATGATGCTCCGGCTAGCATCATGATGATGCGACAACCACGATACCCCAAACAGCACCTGCCCTAGCACCCTGCCATCCATATGCGCCCGCACCATCACCAACACCCGAAAACAGCCCCAATAGCACCCCAACGCAGCACCCGCGCCAGCACCGGACACGACGTCCCCGAGCACCCTGCCGTCACGTTCTGTCACCAGCACCTGAACCGAACACCCCCAAAGTGCATGCCCCCTAGCTCCCAGCCGTCGATCTTGCAAAACAATTTCCCTTCTTCATTAGAAGTCTATGGTTTCCAGTTATCTGGGAAATAAGCCCACTCCAACAGCAACACAAAACAGCACCTGCACCACCACCCCAAACTGCATGCCCCCTAGCACCCGCCGGCAATCTCCAAAAATTGCGCCCACAACGTCAGCAGCACCTCAAACAGCACCCCAGAAAGTACCCCAAAACATCTGCATCAGCTCCCCAAACTGCATGCGGCCATCAATCTTGCAAGAATGCGCCTGCACCATCACCAGCACCCCAACCAGCACCCCAAACTGAGTGTGCCCCCGCTGTCCATCAGCGCCTTAACAGCACAGGCACCAGCACCTCAATCAGCACCGCAAACTGCATGCCCCCTAGCACCCGTCCGTCAATCTCGCAAAACAGCACCTCCACCAGCACTCCAAACTACATGCCCCCTATCTCGCAAAGCGGCACCGCCACCAGCACCCGAAACTGCATGACCCCTAGCGCCCGGCCGTCAATCTCGCAAAACAGCACCTCCACCAACACTCCAAACTACATGCCCCCTATCTCGCAAAGCGGCATCCACCAGCGCCCGAAACTGCATGCCCCCTAGCAACCCGCCGTCAATCTTGCAAAACAGCATCCACCAGCACCCCAAACTACATGACCCCTAGCACTTGGCCGTCAATCTCGCAAAACAGCACCTCCACCAACACCCCAAACTGCATGCCCCCTAGCACCCGCGCCGTCAATCTCGCAAAGCGGCACCTCCACCAGCACTGCAAACTGCATGCCCAGTAGCACCCGGCCGTCAAGCTCGCAAAACAGCACCTCCACCAGCACCCCAAACTGCATGCCGCCCAGCACCCGGCCCTCAATCTCGCAAATCACTTTCCCTTCTTTATTAGAAGTTAGAACCCCTATAGCTTTCAGCTATCTGGGGAAAAACGGCTGCACCCATTTATGGTTGGGATTGTCCCTTCATCTACCGAGGCTTGGACTGTGGCTCATTTCGTCAATGTGGCGTTTCTCTTGGACACTTCGTCCCAATTCGTCTGGCATCTGTATTTAATCGGCTATGTCGTCCCCACCAAAAACATGCTGCAAACACAGCGCACACGAAGCAAAGTTCGCCGCTTCAAGCAAGAGTGGCATGGCAACTCTACAATCTCAAGCAAATTCACACACCTGTTCAAATGGTCAAGTTCGACTGGACAACCAACTTCAATCAAGGAGTGCCAAATGCATCTATTATATATCTCTGATATCTCAGGTTTAAACCTGGGCCCTCCAAAAGGTCGCCTCAAGGAGCTACAAGTTTTCCTGCCCATCACCATAGGCGATGATAGGCGCCAGGCATGTGTGTGAGCTCCACACACACCACGTCCAACCTTCGCACATCAAGCAACTGTTGTTTGGCAAGCACCCCCAACCACAATCCAGAGCCAAATCAAACGGTTCTGAGATACTGACACTCCGCATCCACCTCATTATCGCCGCTGCTGCCGGTAAAAGCAGCTGTGACGAACGATTTACACCGTGCACTAAAATGCCAAGCAAGCAACCGCAAACCAGCCAGCCAGCCAGCCAGCCAGCCAGCCAGCAAGCAAGCAAGCAAGCAAGCAAGCAAGCACGCAAGCACGCAAGCACGCAAGCACGCAAGCACGCACGCACGCAAGCAAGCAAGCAAGCAAGCAAGCAAGCAAGCAAGCAAGCAAGCAAGCAAGCAAGCAAGCAAGCAAGCAAGCAAGCACGCACGCACGCACGCACGCACGCAAGCAAACAGGCAAGCACAAAAGCACGCAAGCAAGCAAGCACTCAAGCAAGCAAGCAAGCACGCAAGCAAGCAAGCAAGCACGCACGCAAGCAAGCAAGCAAGCAAGCACGCAAGCAACAAGCAAGCAAGGAATCACGCAAGCAAGCAAGCAAGCAAGCAAGCAAGCAAGCAAGCAAGCAAGCAAGCAAGCAAGCAAGCAAGCAAGCAAGCAAGCAAGCAAGCAAGCAAGCAAGCAAGCAAGCAAGCAAGCAAGCAAGCAAGCAAGCAAGCAAGCAAGCAAGCAAGCAAGCAAGCAAGCAAGCAAGCAAGCAAGCAAGCAAGCAAGCAAGCAAGCAAGCAAGCAAGCAAGCAAGCAAGCAAGCAAGCAAGCAAGCAAGCAAGCAAGCAAGCAAGCAAGCAAGCAAGCAAGCAAGCAAGCAAGCAAGCAAGCAAGCAAGCAAGCAAGCAAGCAAGCAAGCAAGCAAGCAAGCAAGCAAGCAAGCAAGCAAGCAAGCAAGCAAGCAAGCAAGCAAGCAAGCAAGCAAGCAAGCAAGCAAGCAAGCAAGCAAGCAAGCAAGCAAGCAAGCAAGCAAGCAAGCAAGCAAGCAAGCAAGCAAGCAAGCAAGCAAGCAAGCAAGCAAGCAAGCAAGCAAGCAAGCAAGCAAGCAAGCAAGCAAGCAAAGCAAGCAAGCAAGCAAGCAAGCAAGCAAGCAAGCAAGCAAGCAAGCAAGCAAGCAAGCAAGCAAGCAAGCAAGCAAGCAAGCAAGCAAGCAAGCAAGCAAGCAAGCAAGCAAGCAAGCAAGCAAGCAAGCAAGCAAGCAAGCAAGCAAGCAAGCAAGCAAGCAAGCAAGCAAGCAAGCAAGCAAGCAAGCAAGCAAGCAAGCAAGCAAGCAAGCAAGCAAGCAAGCAAGCAAGCAAGCAAGCAAGCAAGCAAGCAAGCAAGCAAGCAAGCAAGCAAGCAAGCAAGCAAGCAAGCAAGCAAGCAAGCAAGCAAGCAAGCAAGCAAGCAAGCAAGCAAGCAAGCAAGCAAGCAAGCAAGCAAGCAAGCAAGCAAGCAAGCAAGCAAGCAAGCAAGCAAGCAAGCAAGCAAGCAAGCAAGCAAGCAAGCAAGCAAGCAAGCAAGCAAGCAAGCAAGCAAGCAAGCAAGCAAGCAAGCAAGCAAGCAAGCAAGCAAGCAAGCAAGCAAGCAAGCAAGCAAGCAAGCAAGCAAGCAAGCAAGCAAGCAAGCAAGCAAGCAAGCAAGCAAGCAAGCAAGCAAGCAAGCAAGCAATCAAGCAAGCAAGCAAGCAAGCAAGCAAGCAAGCAAGCAAGCAAGCAAGCAAGCAAGCAAGCAAGCAAGCAAGCAAGCAAGCAAGCAAGCAAGCAGCAAGCAAGCAAGCAAGCAAGCAAGCAAGCAAGCAAGCAAGCAAGCAAGCAAGCAAGCAAGCAAGCAAGCAAGCAAGCAAGCAAGCAAGCAAGCAAGCAAGCAAGCAAGCAAGCAAGCAAGCAAGCAAGCAAGCAAGCAAGCAAGCAGCAAGCAAGCAAGCAAGCAAGCAAGCAAGCAAGCAAGCAAGCAAGCAAGCAAGCAAGCAAGCAAGCAAGCAAGCAAGCAAGCAAGCAAGCAGCAAGCAAGCAAGCAAGCAAGCAAGCAAGCAAGCAAGCAAGCAAGCAAGCAAGCAAGCAAGCAAGCAAGCAAGCAAGCAAGCAAGCAAGCAAAGCAAGCAAGCAAGCAAGCAAGCAAGCAAGCAAGCAAGCAAGCAAGCAAGCAAGCAAGCAAGCAAGCAAGCAAGCAAGCAAGCAAGCAAGCAAGCAAGCAAGCAAGCAAGCAAGCAAGCAAGCAAGCAAGCAAGCAAGCAAGCAAGCAAGCAAGCAAGCAAGCAAGCAAGCAAGCAAGCAAGCAACGCAAGCAAGCAAGCAAGCAAAGCAAGCAAGCAAGCAAGCAAGCAAGCAAGCAAGCAAGCAAGCAAGCAAGCAAGCAAGCAAGCAAGCAAGCAAGCAAGCAAGCAAGCAAGCAAGCAGCAGCAAGCAAGCAAGCAAGCAAGCAAGCAAGCAAGCAAGCAAGCAAGCAAGCAAGCAAGCAAGCAAGCAAGCAAGCAAGCAAGCAAGCAAGCAAGCAAGCAAGCAAGCAAGCAAGCAAGCAAGCAAGCAAGCAAGCAAGCAAGCAAGCAAGCAAGCACGCACGCACGCACGCACGCACGCGCACGCACGCACACGCAAGCAAGCAAGCAAGCAAGCAAGCAAGCAAGCAAGCAAGCAAGCAAGCAAGCAAGCAAGCACACAAGCACACAAGCAAGCAAGCACGCAAGCACTCAAGCAAGCAAGCAAGCAAGCAAGCAAGCAAGCAAGCAAGCACGCAAGCAAGCAAAGCAAGCAAGCAAGCAAGGCAAGCAAGCAAAGCAAGCAAGCAAAGCAAGCAAGCAAGCAAGCAAGCAAAGCAAGCAAGCAAGCAAGCAAGCAAGCGAGCAAGCAAGCAAGCAAAGCAAGCAAGCAAGCACACAAGCACACAAGCACGCAAGCATTCAGCGGAAGCAAGCAAAGCAAGCGATGGGCCCCCTTATGACTACCTGTGACCATCCACATCTCTCCTTCAGCTTTTGGGGTGCTTTCCGTGAAAAAAAGCTGTATAGGCGCCCGAGCCAGCTTTGGCGGCAGCATCTGTAAGCTTCCGGTTTATGGCCTGGAGAGTGCAAGGAACCCTCCAAGCCAACATCGCAGTTGCGATTCTGGCAGTTTGAACATGGCCCCGAGGTCCATAGCGATCTCACATGCTTCAGGTGCTCAACGTCCACCCACGGCCGCATTTTCCTCAACTAACTCCGGCGAGGTCTCGCTTGGTCAGAGAGCCAAAACGCCAGCCCAGCATTCTGATTTGACCATGAAGCTTCATGTTTCCCACCATGAAGAGATGACACCCATTCCGAAAAGCGAGAGCTGCCGATCTGTTTGGGCGCACGTGCCGCTTCGCGGTCGCACCTCCGACAGCTGTGTAGCTGCCGATACAACGGCTCCCACGGCTTCACTGCCTGGAGCCTGTTGCGGAGTCAAAACGCCTTGTGTGGGGATGGTGCTTGTTTCCTTGCATGTATTCTTTAACATGGTCCGCTTGCCGAAGAGCGCAACACAATCCCAATTGGAGCCCAGTTGCAAGGTATGCTGACCATGGCACTTTCGAGTGCGCCTAAATTCACTTTGGAAACTCGGTCGCGGGCCGCCCAACGGGGAGCCGGAGCTTAAGCGGCACTGGCTTCGTCAGGCACCCCTGAAAGCGCCATCTGACCAAGAGGCGAATGCACTAAAGTTCCCCCCTCGGCCTTCAAAAGCTGAGGTCCAACGGACTCTTTTCACATCAGCTACATGGGTGTCGTAAAATTAAACACCAAACATGCCGGTGTTCCTTTGGGCTTTGCAATGTCTACAGTAAGGAGCCCAACACATCGCCCCAGCGAACCAAGGGAGCTGTGCCTATTCCTTCGCCTTCTGCCTCGCTGGCTCGGGCGTCGGGCGGCTTAAGAGGCTCCTTGAGAGGCCCTCATGGCACCATCCCACCAGCGGAGTATTCCCGCAGCACCCCAACTCCAACGAGCTGATTGTTGGTGGGCTTGAGCTTGTTTCATGGTGTCTCCTGAAAATCCACTCATTGGGAACTTGGCCTGCTTTGCTGATTCGAGGGTGAAATGAGCCTGCTCCGCTCAAGATGCAACTAAATGAAGCAGCAGCACCCATCATTCGACACTGAGCGATCCTCAAGCTCCTCGGAGCAGTGCACGACACTCTTGGTTCGTCTTGGCTTGACAGGACTTTCCTCTGTTTCTGTCAGTGGCACGTGATGAGCATCTTCCCTTCCGCACACGTCTAATCGCAAAATGGGACACGTGGCAAACCCCGACTCCAACTCCAGGAATGTGGGAGGGCTGTTGGGCATCCAACGGAAGTCCTAGAAGTTTGGCAGTCAACCAAACGACCAACAAACTTCACGCCAGTGCTAGACCCTTTTGCTCCCCGGTCCGGTCGGATGGATCGCGCACGACCTCGCTGCCCAACATCGATCTTGGAAAGGACGTCCTCGACCTGCCACAAGCCCGCAGCAGCTTTGCACAATTGGCTGTTTGGGCGGAGGAGTCGCTCGAAAATATGCAACCCTGCAGGGTCCTCGGGTCAGTCTTCGATCACGCATTCCTATTTGCACGGCTTTGGTCCGTGAAGAATCGCAAGTCAGCCCCAGCCTGGAAGTGGGTCGACAAGGGATTGGCCTGATAGTTCATACCTGCCAATCCAAAACAAGGTACCCTCAAAATCGGCTGCCCCATCGGTAAATGGAAACAAGGACTAAAACCTGCGGTCTGGTTGATGTTTCACCCATACCCGCATAGCTGGAGGGTCCCTTCCGAGAAACTCAATGGTACGGCCCCCTAGACTTTCCTTTTGGCTGCCCTTTCACCAGACTTAAAGGCCCTTTCACCAGACTTAAAGGGGCCCTTGTTTTTGCAACACTCACACTAGGTGTCCTTTTGGACAAACAAGTGGCAGTAAGAAAATTAGAATGAAAAAAAACACAAGTGGAGCCCACCTCTTTTCAACCGAAAACTCACAAGCTGCACACCGATCCACATCTGACCGAGCTGCCAATCAACCGAAGTGCGGACATGAGGCCGATCCGCTTCCTGAGCTGGCGCAAAAGGCCGTGCTCGTAAGGAACCAGCCCCCAGGTGGTTGGCAGACATGAATCCACACTTAGATTTGAGGTCCACCAAAACTTTGGGCCCCAGTTCCCCCCCACCTCCATGTCGATTACTTGAAAAAGAAACTGAGGTTTTCCAGGTGGTTTCCTTTTTGATAATTACCACGAAAACGCAGCCTTTCTTTTGAAAAATCACTCCCAAAGATCCAAGCTCAGAACGTTGGGTCCCATGACCCCAGCTTGCGCCGAGTGTCTGCCCCGTCTTCCCCATCTTCTCCATACGAGAGTACTTGCCCTCAGCCAATATGCAGAGCCAGGATCCAAATACTTCAATCTACAGAATCAACGCTACCAGTGAGTCCGTGTCGACCGCGAAACGTGGGCAAACGGGAAAAGTTTGTCACTGATCGATTGAGACAAAATGATGCGGAGCATGTGAAGTCGAGCTGCATCTAAGCGCTTGTTGAGCATCAAGTACAATGCCTCAGCATTGAACAAGCAGTCTTTCTTTAAGTCTGCCTTGTGTCATTCAGCAGTATGCGCAACCTCCTCCAGCCAACTGCTTCGCACAATGCGCTCTGAGGCCGCTTCACAATCTGAGAAGCTGTTGCAGTTCTTGCACAACAGATCCTCAAACCACGCTTCGGCTGCAGAACTTTCTCACAAATGGTGGCAAAACATGTCTGTCTTGAGATGCATAACCTGCTGAGAAACAGCCACGGATCATTGAATCTCACTCCAAGCTTCGTAGGTGCCAGGTTGGAACATCGGGCTCAAGTACGAGACCATCTGACAGCGGGAATTCTCTGCGCTTGCGTTGGATGGCCAACAACAAGACAGGCATACTGCAGATGGTTGCAAAATCCAGTTCGCAAGACGAAATGAAACCATGGTAAAAACCAAGCAGGGTTTCCGAACGGTGGTGCGAAATGGATTTCGCAACCATCCACAGTATCACCCGTTGGTATGGCTGAACTGCCCTTGGCATCGGGGGGCCCAAGCCTCATATCCCAAAACGCCTGCCGAGCACCAGCCTGGTGTGGAGACATTGACGTGTGCCCCATCAGTTGCCTTGGCCAAGGCAGATTGCAACTCCATTGCAGTGCGTGTGTTTTCTTTGCAGACCCCCAACATGGCGGTGTTCCTTTGGGCCTCTCTTCAAAACCACCGAAAAAATGCCGAGCGAGGCGCACATCTGTCTCCCTTTTCAGCATGGAGTGGGACATCAGCGGTCGCGTGGCCTCGGGTCCCGCTCTACCCAGACCTCTGCCCCTATCCTGCAGGAGTCTCAGCCCGCCCTACCAAAACTTTGCAATAAAGCCCGCATTGGAACACCGCATGGTTGTTTCGCTTTGGCAACACCAGAAGTGCAAAGTCCCATGGCCATGCAACTCGCACACAGGTCTTCGTACATGGAGAATGCCGCGAAAAGAAGTGTGAGAACATGCAATCCCAATGAAAACACAACATGAGAAGCTTCACGCAACGCCAAACCTGCCCACACCCAATTCACCATAGAGACGCAACATGAGAAGCTTCACGCAAAGCCAAGCCTGCCCACATGCAATCCACCATGGAACGCAACATGAGAAGCCTTATTCAAGGCTGCGCACCTGCACACTCCAACTCGCATCACCATGCCTGCCCTTTAGAATTGTAAATCTGTGCATGCGTGTTTGGTATCTAGCTCGGTTTGTTTTAGTGAGGGAGCGAGCTTGAAACGCTCAAAATGATTGATAGTCTGATGTTTGTTTTGTTGGGGAGAACACTTTGATACAACTCTCATTTGCCACACAATGCATTGGGACTGCCCAACCCAAATTGTCCATTTGCTCTTGGGGTACAGCGTCTGCAGAAAGTTACAATTTTTCAACACCAGGAAATGGGCGTGGCTCAAAATTAACCAGGAGGGGCAAACCGCAGGTTTTGGTCCATGTGTCCACTTACCAGGGGTCCATTTTGGCCCGGTTTTTTGAGCCACAGCCAATGAGATTTGGATCCTCAACAGGACCTGCAAGGATTGTTGCTCGTATCCACCCAGTTTCCCCTAGACTGCGGGACAGCCCAGCACAAGCAACTCGGCGCGGTCGCCTGATTGAACTGGCCCCTTCTGGATGCTATTTGCAGATTAGGATTCAAGTAGTAGTAGAATGGGCCTAGTTGGATGCAAAACCTTGCTGCTCTCAGCATATTCTTGACTGGAGTGCTTTGCTTTACATTACTTTCAATTAACGAGAAAATACAAAGATGTTCTGCCCTTTGTTTGCGCAAGTTGCGTTTGCTTGATGCATGTTGCTTGGGGTTCGGGACGCATGGATCTTAGTGTTGGTTGCGAAAATCCTATTAGTTTGTTCTGTTTGCGTAGTAGGGTGTGTCAATGCCCGATGCAACAGCTCGGGCTAGCTTTTGCTTCTTGAGCTGGAGGATACAAACACATTGGTTTGCTGAATTTCTGCATCTGCTTATTTGGCTACAGCAACTTTGGGAGGGAATGGGGGGGGCACCCTAGATCCCCACCAAGGCCACCCAAAAGAAGAAAAAAACCGCCGTCCCGTGGCCTCTTGAGGAACTGCAATTGTTACAATTCCAAAGCCTGAAATTACTTGGATCCCCAAGTCAAGGACCTACAGGGATGTCGTCTTAGTCCCGTGCGGGGTTGTTTCTCTTTCCTTTTCTTTGCAGGTCTCACGCACTCCCAGAGATCTGGGAGTGGAGTCACTCTTTGGGTGTGGCCCATGTTTATGGCAAGCAGGTGGCCCATCTCGTTTTAGCTATGTTACTTGATGCTTACTTGTTTCGTCACATGCCCACTTTTGCAGAGGAAAGCAATGATGAAACTCAGACCTGCACATTCAAAACCGCATGCAACGCAACATGCAAGAACGGGGTCCCAAGAAAAAAAATGATGAACAAGGAAGAATTGTGTGGGACCCTTTCCGCATTTTGGCCCCAATCGCAAATGTTCTTTGCAAAGGCGTGTCATCTGATTGAATCATGGATCTCCGCGCCACCTCAGCCAGAATTGCACTACACAGCCATGCGGCGCGAATGCCCTGGCCACTGAAGGAGTATTCCACCTGGCGGGTGAATCTCAACCACCTCAAAGACTCGCGGGGCAAAACGTTCAAAACACGTGTTCTAGATGCACTGCCGTTGCATTGGCAGGCCTGCACGATTTTTTAAAGAGCATCTTGACGCAAGAGGGATGCTCTGGGTTGATATCCAGCACAACATGAGCATCGCCCAAGACCCACAGTCTGTGGGTTCTGCCAACATGGTGTGCTAAATCTAGCCGGCTGAGCCCTTCACATTCAGTGGCTCTCGGAACCGTTCTGACAATACATCATGGTTTGGAGCCCGGTGGCTCGGTGGCTCGGGGGGGGGGGGGTCCCATGTACCCTCTACAAACTCCAAATCGAAACAAATCCCAGCCAGCAAGGCATTACCTGAATACGCAGATTCGCAGCTCCTCCGCTTCGCCCCGGGTCCCGCCTCACCCACGACGAGGGAGGTGTGGAAAGCATCCAACGGCTCCTCAAGCTTCCAAGCAACAGGCGTGAACGAAATCAAGGTCGCAATGGAAACTCATAATGTTGACCCCGGATTAATACACTTTTGTTTGTTAAGCAGGGGGTGTTCCCCTCCAAAGGTGATAAATTCCATAAACAGGGGGTTATTCATCCGGGGTCAACATTACTCAGAACATCGAATGCTCTTGCGCGAGCTCTTCACAACAAATCTGCAGGCTCCAGCTCGGAAAGTAGCACAATCCCCAGAGCGACATGTGTCTGCTGCTCATAACCCCTGCAAACCCCAGCGCTCGGCGCGTGAATATGTCGGCTTTGAGGGCTTCAACTAAGGCTTGCTCTGAACCTCGAATCTTGGATGCCGAGGGCAGGTGGAACAGCACGGTTGCAGCCAGCCTCACACGCGAAAGCGTCCGGCTCTGGATTCCAGGCTGGCTTGAGATTCCAGAAGGGCTTGAATACGTCTACACATAGCTTGCCCGCCATGGGCCAAGAAGCAAAATCTGGTTCTGATTTTTTCCCCAAGAAAGCTGTGGGGTCTCAGCCCAGATAGGCTCCAGGGTGATCCGGGGCGGCCCTGAGGTAAGGTTCCACACGAGGGTTCCACGAGGGTTCCACCAGGGTTCCACCAGGGTTCCACCAGGGTTCCACGAGGTTCTGCGAGGGCTGCGGGGTGGTGCGAGCACTAAAAAGAGCACCGCATGCTGTTGGGGATATCACCTGAGCTTATGGGCGTTTGGCTTTCCTTTAAAAAAAAACTCCCTAGGTGACTAAAAAAAAAAAAAACGGTGGAAAAAAGAGGGAAATCAACAAAAAAACAAAACAAAAACAAAAAAACGCACAGAACGTACGCCAATTCAGCCAGTCGCTTCACAGGGCTGGTGCCCCCGAAGACGCTTGGCACAGCCACCGACTCCCCAGCCCCCATGGCGATCGAGAGTCACCTCCGTGGCTTGAGCCGGACTGCTGCGGGAGGTGGGCGCCCGCCCGGATTCCGGAGCCAAGGAGCCAAGCTCAGAAGCTCAGAAAAAAAGACCTGCGAAGGTACATCAATGCAAGAATTAAGGGTTGGGGGTCCCAAAAAACCAAAAAACGATTGAGGGTCCCAAATCAAATCAAAAAAAAAAGATGGAGGGTCCCAAAAAACATCGGGAAGCCACAAAACACCAAAAAGATGCAAGGGTCCAAGTCAAACCCTGCTCCCGAAGCTCTTGTCATACGCCTGCACATGCTGAAATGCAGTCGAAGGGCTCTACACCCCATGCCAGGCCCCGCATGTACCCATTGTACTCCTAGGATTGTACCCCAAGCTGAAAGTACATAAAAACCCAAGACATGCCAACAACAGTGTAGATACTCCCTGAGCAATGTGAGCCACGGTCAATTCTTATGTCCACCACCTGACACTGGATTTTGGTGAGGGAACTTCCTTTTTGGTTGGCTTTGAAGGGACACCAAAGGAAAACTATGTGTTTATTCATGTATTGTTTGTGTGTGTGCTTTTTTTGGGGGTCCCCTCAAAAAGGACACCCCCCATATTATATCTATACATAATATAACAATATTATGTATATACATGCCATAAAAATTAGTCACTTAAGGCTTTTTCCATGCTACTTTGGATCCAAACCTATGCCCTGATGGCAGTCCTTGCCCGCGCCGTCTTCAAGTCCCGCCTTGTGAAGCCTCACTTGGTTGGACGGCTGCACCGCATCACCTGCCAGCCCTCTTCAGCGATGGATACACTCCCTCCGACTAACGTGGCACCTGAAAGGGGCTCCCTTCAAGAGGAAATTGATCTTGCAACTACCTCCCCACAGGTGCCATGTTAGTGGGAGGAAGGGTCTCCAAGAGCTCCCCTTGTTTGATATCTGAGCCACGGTCAATACTATTCGCAAAGGACTTTGGTGGCAACATAGCCAACTATCGCCATGAACCATCTGATACGACTTGGCCAATGCAAAAGTGTCCTACGTCTTGGCAAGTTGACATCCAGGTAAGTGACTTTCTTCTCTTTCTCTCTCCCTCTCTGCCTCTCTCTTTCCGGAGCTCGAGACTTATGAGAAAAGGCAAGCGGATCTTTCGAGGCCGTCTCTGCTCTATCTGGTCGTTTCTCCCGCTTGATTCCGTGAGGCCGTACCCTCGGCCCCCATTGGATCCAGACTCCACATCCAACACGTGGAAGACATCAGATCTTCCCGGGACTTGAACACACATGCAGCGTTGAGCTGCCATACGAATCTCTATACCTTTTTCTACCATCGTTCATTCCAAGAGCCAAATCTCAGCATGTGAATGAATTATAGGTTTGCATCTTTTTCAGGCCACGGCCCTAGCTCACATCGGTCAGTGCTATCATTGTGGACAAAATATGCCCGCAGCATGGGCAAAGCTCAAGGCCACACAAGTCTGATGTACCCAAACAGATTCGAGCAACGCCCGAGCTTGTGATGGGGGCTCCAGACTTCTGCCTCTGGTTCAACGTACCAAACTCAAGCAGCTGGATAGGGGAAAAAGTGCTCGCGAAAGAGCCCAGGTTGCGGAATGCGCAAGTTCCGAATCCAAGCAATTCTCACTTGCCCGAAGGACCTGGACATAAAAGGTTAACCTTTGGGGACCTCCACTAAAAATGGACCAAAACTGGAAAACCAAAAGGTCAAAAGGTCGGTTTTTAACAACTGAGAATTGTGGCGAATCGCAAAGCCAGCGTTGCGACGCCTACCAGGCCCACTGCTTTCGGCTTCACGTCGTAGCGAACTCGGTCGGCTGAGTTGGACTGGTCATGGCAGAAGTGAGGCATTACCAGAAGCTGAAGTAAGTGTTGCTGCTCCGAGTTTTCCATGGTCCGTATTATAAGGCACCCTGAGATCTGTGTCTGCGTCCCATGCGTCTGAAGCCACTCACTCCCGTCCTATGTTCATCCCTTGCCGCTGAGCCCATCGACATTTCGCAGTCGGCCATCTGAGCTGAGCCAGGGGCGACCCCTTGGCATGCTGCCTCAAGCAACCTACGGCCAGGGTCACGACACAAGAACGAGCAAACCGGCGAGCAGACCGGTTGGATTCGGCCCGGGACTCAAATCACACTCTGGGGCTCCCGGCCGGCCGGGAAGGTTAGTGGAATTGCATGGCGGCTGCGCGTCGGGATGAGCTGAAATGATGCTCTACCAACGCGAGCAACTCATGTGCCGTGCAAGCGAGCTCCTTCATGCACCTTGGCACGCGCCTACGTCAAGCAAGGCTTGGATGTGTCCAAATCCAGGCGAGCCCCTAAGCCTTTGGCTTTCCTTTCAACGTCATCCGAAAGCGCAATCCAACTTTAAGACAATGAATGCCACATATCTACCAAGTTGCAATCTTGAAAGCGTTCCTACACATGGATCTCTTGAGCTTCCGCGAACCACCCACGTCCTCTGGCCGTGGTTCCTTGACCTGCGCAAGCATGCTCTCCGCGGCCAACAAGAAGCAAGGCTTCAAATCCAATCCAATCCACCAGTTTCCAAACCACCATTTCTTTTCGGGTTCGGATTTGTTTTTATGTGTTTTTTTTTATTATTATTATTTGTTTTAATGTGTTTTTTTTCTTCGGATTTTTCTTTCTTTTCAGGGCTCCCTGAGCCAAGACTTTGGAAAAGAGGATCCCATGTCTCGAGACTATCTCTCACTTTCTAGCATCGGTTTTGAGAGGACGCTCCGAAACATCCGCCTGAGTCACAATCAAAACCCGGAGATTAAAATGGTCGACGAACCATGCTTCAAGAATTAAGAAGGCGGATATCCGCAGATATTTTTGGCAAGGGGATTGTCCCTTACTAACCTTCATCTACCCGGGTTTTGAGCAAGTGGCCCACCTCACGACGAAGCCGTGCCTTTAGTTCCACCGGCAACGTCTTCAGCAAGGCCTTGGCATGCTCATCTTTCACCTGGCGAAAGCTTCAAAAGGAGGCCTTCCTCAAGTGGGTGACTCGTCTTTTTTTGGATGGGGTACCAACGTTGTTGGTAGGTTTCAAAGGAACACCAAAAGACAAAGCGAAACCTATTTTGCTTCCAACCTTAAACAACACACTCAAGTAGCATGTTGCCAAACTTGAGCCTCCAAAAGCGCAACCACAAAACAACCCACCATAGGACGCAGCTAGGAAGGGCATACGATCTGCAAAATTGGTTTCTGGTGCACCTCCCCCTACCCTGCCAACATTGTGCGCAAGCTTCAGAAACTCCAGCAACGCAGACGTCCCACCTGCTCCCTACATGCCCTCTGCCAACCAAGTGAGGCTGTATATGCACCAGCATAGACCCCCAAATAGCCAGAGCTCCTTGCGCCACTCAGAAATCTCAGTTCGCACATGTACTACCCGCCGCGGTCGCGAGATCGAAACATCACCTCCCCTTCCAAAAATTGAGAACCCCCACGCTTTCAGCTTGAACAATGTCAAAACGAAGCTAGGTCGTCCAGTAGAGAGCTTGGAATAAGGGTACCCTTTTTCTGTAGTCTATGTTAGTAGGGGCTTGCCCTCCCCCAACAAAGGGCAAAAGGGCACTACTGGGGGACCTAGGCTTGCCCAAGGACCTGGACATAAAAGGTTAACCTTTTAGGACCTCCACTAAAAATGGACCAAAACTGGAAAACCAAAAGGTCAAAAGGCCGGTTTTGAACAACTGAGCTTTTGCCTCGGCCCATCGACACGCAGCGGGCCCATCGACCTCCGCGTAGACGCCGCTGGTGGTCAACAGCTCCCCACCGAAACGCTCCAGGCGCTTCAGGCGAATGGCCGCGCCCGCGTCCAACACCACCTGACCCCGCTGACCCGGCGGACCGGCTTGGGCGGGAGAAAGCAACTGAGCCACAATCTAAACCCGGTACTAAAATGCTTGACCCATGTCTTTTTTCTCTCTCGGCGTATTGAGTCCTTTCGGACGCTGCCACTCCAGAACCATGTAAGGAAATGCAAAGGCGGCTGCAACTATTTATGGCAAGGGGAGTGTCCCTGACTAACCTTCATCTACCCAGGTTTTGATTGTGGCTCAACTGGGAGGGGGTTGGTATTTTATGAAAAAGCCTGCATTCTCCAAAGATATGTTTGTCGGAAGCAAAAGGAACTGATGGGAGCAATGTAGAGCTGCAATCTTCAGCAGCCTGACATGTCAGATAGCTTGAACAAAGCTTCTGAAACCCAAAACGAGATATCAAACCTGCTGCTTCGGGCCAACTCCTCAAGCAGGTTGGCGTCATTGGAACAAAGCATGTGGGTCGCGTGGTCCCATTAACGAGTCAACACTGTATCGCTCAGCTTGGTAGACTGTGGAGAAGAACGGCAGGCTGATGGACTCAATTTTCAAACTTCAGGCGTGCTACTCCTAATCTGACTTGAGCTGTGAGTGTGTGCGTGTGTCACACAGCGCCGACCCGCTTTCGAACTTGTGGGCATGCCAGTATGTGAGCTCGAGGCCGTTTAGCTCCCTGTCACCACGTTTGACAGCATGAGTTCCACTTAGCTAAACCACCAGTCCTGACCTCATGCCGACCGAATCGCCTGCCGCTCATCTGCACCCTGCTCCCAGAATGTCATGGGAGTCTTAGTAGGTCTCGATGAGCAATGGGCGCTGTTTCAGGGATATCACAAAGGTCTACGTGTCAGTCGTCAGAATCACTGGTCGGGCTCAGTAAAGCTCAGCTTCTGCATGGGTCTGGGCCATCGTGGCTTCGTGACTCACACTCAACCGACTTAATTTTTGATGTATTGCCTTCCTAGGCATTGACATGAAAAAACGAGACAAGCTCAAAGTTACTTTCTGCGCAGAAAGACCGATGAAAACTCACTGGCACTAAGCCCATGGAGGTGAACTCCAACAACTCTTGGCAAGCAGGGGAGTGTGTTGTTTTCCGCTTCGGCAAGCTGGGCACCCATGCAATGTGTGTGTGTGTGCGCGCGTGTGTGCTGCCTATAACAAACACACCTGCAATATTGCTGAAGCTCCCTAGTCAAGCATCGTCTTCAGGTACATGCACTTCAAAAGAAATAGTGAAACAACACCTCTTGTCATCTAGCATGATTCACATGTCAAGCCAGCCAAGTACTGCCTCTCAATCACAGAGCGCCAAAATCACGGTGACAGTGTGCTTTCATAACTTATGGCTCCCCAAAGGCGGCCACACGCCGGCCCCGCGAAATCATTTAGGCAATCATTGACCACATTCCTGAGAATGACAAACAACCAGCACGGCACTCACAGGACTCAACCTGGTCCCCCTCATCAGCCGTCCGGCTTCTGAGCTTCTGAGTAAGTTAATATCGTTCTGCAACCAAGTGAACGGCAACTGTTCGTTCTAATGCATCTTCGAGCGGGTGCAGGTTGGTTGACACCTGCGTACTTTTTTTGGGGGGGGAGGGCACTGCTTCCCGGCTTCCTTGCTTGCCACTTCCGGCAGTCTAGGCAGCACACTGTTTGGCCGACGATGGATCAGCGTGGCATGCACAGCTCCAAACGCTGCCACTGGAGCAGCGCCGAAACACGTTGGTACCTATTTGTGATTCTACGGTCATGCACATTTAAATGGATCTCGGTACTGGATTGGCCAATAAGATCGCCAGCAACATAGGCACTGCTCACATTGCGGCTCTGGCGACATTGCGGCTGCGGATGCAAACGGCGCCGGCTCAATTTCGGAGATGATGGACCTAGGCACGGCCAAAGTGCGTCACATGCCAAGCTGACATTGGACAAATTCAGTAGTGTGCCTCGTGTGGAGCTGGTTACACGCCAAAGCTCAAACGGACGAACGGCGCGCTTTTCTCGGGGCGCTGGTGTACATCTCGGAGCCTTTCAGAGCTCGTCCACTCACCACTTGAACATGAATGCAAGCTTCACGACTTGCCTGAAAATCCATCTAAGCATACAAACTCCTCTTTCAGCTGCCATTGTGGAGGAGTGTCTATCGCAGGGGCTTCTTGACGAAAGTCGTTGAGGACGACTGCTTCGACCAGCTATCACAGGTGCTAAAGAGCGTACAGCTGCTATCCGAGTCTCCCCCCACGAAGCTTGCAAAGTGGCAGCTCTGCTCCTTGACGCAGTGCATCTTGCAGGCCGCCTCGCTCTTGGCTTCGTTCTGCTGCGGGAGGACCTCGCCCTCGCACTTGCCTTGGCCCTTGTCTTCCGGGTACATGATGAAGCCGTACCATGCTTTGCAGGCAAGGAAGGATTTGTAGCGGTTGGCCTTGCCATCCAAACCCCAGGCCGGCTTCTCCCCGAACTCCTGCTCGTAGCTCTTGCAAGCCTCCACCGGGTTCTTGGTGCTGGCGCCATTTCCAATTTGCACCCACGAGTTATTTCCTTGCTCACCTGGGCAAGACATGAACTACTTCAGGACCTCATCACACTCCTAACTGAAATCGTGGGGTGTTCTGACATGTCAAGACTTCGTCCACCGCATGTTTGAACCCCTGGTGCACATAGGGGCTGTTCAACGGGGATCCTTACATGAAAAACACCTGAACATTGCCTTGTAATGGTGGAATTCCCTTTATTTGCTGGAAAAAGCAACATGTTTCAAATGGCTGCAAAATGTGTACTTTTTAAGAAGCCCTGTTCAACTCGGGTTCCTTTTTGCCATCACTTTTGCAGCTGGGCACTGGCGAAGGGCGCCCACTGGTCCCCTGGCGCCACACGAGGATTCACCGTCAGCACCCCTTCGCTGTTCGCCTTGCAGTAGTCTTCATAGTGCGCCAGCCTCGATTCGCGCGAGCAAATGGCTGTGGCTCAAAAAAGTGGTACCAAAATCGCACCTTGGTACATGGAAACAAAGACTAAAACCTGCGTAACCCCTGGCCCTTCTAATTTCGAGCCATACCCAAACAACACAGGCCAGGGGGCAAGTGTCAAGCCAGCCTGTTGAAGGTATCGGCCCAACGTTTCGAGAGCACTTGTGGTGGAGCTCTGTAAATTGTGAGGTAGTTCTACTGATTAAAAACAGTGCCCCATAGCGGGGAAGAGCAGCTTCAAGCCGCCAAGACTTGCCTGTCAAAAACAGAGCACTTGCCATCGTCCTTTCTTGGGTTAAGAATCAAAGGGTGTAGGGCTACTTCAAATCTCGTTGGCAGACTCGCGAGTTCGACATGCCGCTTGACTTCCGGAGTCTCATAGGTTTGATTCGCAACTTTGGCATCGAGAACAAGCTGCGAGACGAGCCCAAGTCTGATCAAACTGCAAGCAGGTCAATCCCTACTAGTTGTTGTCTTAACAATCCCACAAAACGAGTGCGGCAATCGAACGCTGACAATGCGGTACCCTTTCGCGTTTCAAACTTCAAAAGCAAGCCTCCCCCGGTCAGCCCCTTTTCGGAACCTCCCAACCACCCCCCGCAATGCCGCGAAACTTCATGTGGTGCTTGGCACAGAAGCCCACCGCCTCACCGAAGCCTGTCCTGCTCCACCCATCCACGTGGGAGAACCATACCATGGCCTGCAGGGCACAAGTACCACTGTGAACATCGCAAAAACAGGTCGGTGAATAGCGCATGCTAAAGAGCTGAAGCAAGTTCTTGAGTTGACATGCAGCTGAGGCCAAGATGTTTGGCGCGCTGGGGAGGCAGAAGCACGCGTGAAGATCGGACGGATGGGAGACACTTCGACGCACCATGCACGCCACGCGCTCAGCCCATACATTTGATTGCATTGGTGTTGGGCCGCTTGAAACGGTGGGCAAGAAGTGCAGCAAAGTTGCTTTGGCTCTGATTGATCCATGGAAATGATAGCTGAAACATCGCATGGCCTGAAACGGAAAAAGGACAGCTTGCGGTCACAACTGTTTCTTGCCCATTTACGTTTTCTTGGCAAGTGAACTGGCGAGGCGCCTTCGCTTGCACACGCTGCGTACTGTGGCCACTTCCTCACATCCGCGCGCGCGTGTTAACCTTTGCGGCAGTGCAACGAGTGTTCTTTCAATGACTAGGCAGACGAGCAGTTGGGTTCCGGTCAAAGAAAAGTTACAGTAGGATTCCGCAAATGGTAGCGATGGAAAACTGGGAGGAGCTTGACTCGTTTTCAGGCGGGGTTCACGTTCGTGCCACGACGTATGCCTTTGGTTGCGAGGCTCCCCAGCCATCACCAGGAAGTTTCCTTGGCCAGATGTGCAAAAAGCTCGGCCCGGGGCTTAAGTCATTGGCTCCACATCAGGCGAGGGGCACAGGAACCTCGTCTTCAGCATGAGAAAGCAAGCAGCGATGGGTTGACGCACTGCGCCGTTCCAAGACACAGTTGTCTGATTGTTCCAGCACATCCCAGCATGGAGCCCCCTGCTTCGTAGCATTCCTGCCGGTAGGTACGTCTCATCAAGGGCATGCCGTCGGTTGCATTGCGGCCCTCGGGCCGGCAGCCGAGTTGTGTCGCGCAGGCAACCGTCTTGTGGCTTGAGGTTCGTTGTTCCTCGCCCTACCAAAGGCTTTCCTCGCGCAATGGCGGTGAGATGAACGGTCATGGACTTGTCCGCCCCTGCTCGCACGGAAAAAGGCGTTGGCAACGGAAGCAAGCGTGGCCGGTTGTCTTTTTGGCATCCCCTTCCAAAAAAACAGGCGCGAGAAAAATGGAACCAGCTCCAAGAAACAAGACGCCCCCATTTGCAAACTTGGGGTTCCCTGCAGTTTGGGCCCGAGCCCAAACTAAAAAGGCGACCCAAAGATGGGTCAAAATTAAACCACCAGGAATTGGACCGCAGGTCTTAGTCCTTGGTCCCAGAAAACCAGGGCTCCATTTAGGGGCTACCCAATGTTTTTGACCACCACAACCACCTGTGAAACTCCGACTTCTTCCCACCGGGCCTGGGGCATCGCCAGGTCCCCGGCCAGGCGCGCCATCAGAGGCCCGCTGAGGCTCTGCCCCCAGATCTTCATCTCCTAACCGACGAGGCGTGTCTTAGGGCCACCCCCCCAAATGGTGTTTTTTGTTTTTGTTTCCCCAAAAACAAACTATATATATATATATGTGTTTTCTCCCCGCCCCCCCCCCCCCAAAAAAAAAAAAAAAAAAAAAAACATAATAACAATAATAAATGGCGGTTGTTTTTTCTCCCCACCCCCCAGAATGGACTTCAGAATTTTTTTGGGGCCACCCGCAGACTTGAGTTCGGTCTTGGTTTTGCCCCCCCTCTAAAAGTGTGCGTGTTTTTGGTAGGGGTTCAACAAAAAGGGGCCCCCTAAAAAAAGACACGCCCGACTGATGCAACGGGTTGACACCAAATCCACATCCGTCTCATGGAGCCCATGGTTAAATTCAACCGAGTTCCCGGAGTCAGTCTGTCCACACAAGCCTTCTTCCACTCGGAGCTTGACTCGCTAGGCTGCATTTTAGAAAGTGCGAGGCTAATGTGCTAATCACTCTTCGCCGTGTCCATCTAAAATGGTGAGATTCTGTCTGGTGAAGGTTGCACGCTTTAGAACAGGGGAAACATATGTTGTGTGTTCTTGGGTTAAATGGGCAACAATCCGTCAGCATGCTTTATGGATCGTTTCCGGCCCCACTTCTTATGCGCTGCCTTCCGCGCAGGTCCCACAGCTGCGCAGGTCCCTCGATTTGATCAGCACTTGTCCTTCAGGGCCCCGCCCCACAGGGCTTGCGTCTTGTAAGCACCCACCATCATCTTTGCAGCGTCGTCCGGCGAGTAGGCAGTCCTCGTATGGCTCCACTGGCCATCCAGAAGCACTTTCGGACTGATCGATTGATCCACAATGCAAAGCACCCCATGGCCCCTTCAATCGCTGCCATTTGAAGAGAACAAAGCTTCCTTTTCAAACGAGCACGCAGCGCTGGGCAAGCAAGTGCCGAAAACTGCTCAAAAAGTAACTGCATATGACGGCGCAACATGTCCACCATGGACTAGTTTTGCTCAAGTACGAAGCCCCATGCTTTGGATGGCTCTGAACCAATGACAACAAGTCATCCTTACCCTATTATACTGATCATTACATCGTCAGTCGTTGTGGGTGTGTACTCCGCAATGCAAACTGGAAAATCCATACACAAGTCCCATCAACGGGGAAAAATGGGTCTCTCTCTCTCTCTCTTTGTCTCCCTCTGTTTTTGTTCCTCCCTCTCTCTCTCTCTCTCTCTCCCTCTCTCTCTCTCTCTCTCTCGCTCTCTGCAAAACAGACAAACATGACAGTGTCTCAGTAGTTTATATGTTTGCTCAAAAATAGCATCCTGGAGCCTGGAGTACTTTTGTTTGGGTAACCCCCCTGCTACATGCGAAAAGGACTTGGACGCCAAAGCAGGGGCCCTGTGAGAAAAAAGACGTCTGCGCAGGGGTGCTTTCTCATTAGGGTGGTTGCCTTTAGGGGAAACGAATCATTTGGGAGGGCCAACATGTTGAGACAGTCGCCGATGCAACAATGTCGTGAACCACTAAAATCCCTGGCAGGTTCTCCACTCGGCTCGACTTGAGCCAAGTGTGAGACATGGCTGTGGGTCAAACAGATGTACCCAAAATGGGAGCCCTGGCAAATGGAAACATGGAAACCAAAACCTGCGGTCTGCGAATTTAATTTTGACCACCCACATGCCTTCACTCAGCCCGAGGGGCGGGAAGGGGCAGGCCTTCACCTCCAGGCCGTTCAGATAGATGCGGGTCTCGTTCCTCGGATGGAGGGTCTCGCTTGCGGATGGGCTGCACAGGAAGAGTTTGTGTATTACCTGGGAGTACACCCACTGGGTATTGAGCCCGCTGTATTGCGCATCTCCGGGTAAAAAGTCGTGTTATTTTATGAACCATTCTGGGTCATTTCCCAAGGGTGGAATCCCGCCCGCCGCGAAAGTGTTGGCCGTCAAAGAACAGGGGTGACATCGTTTGACATCTTCCAAGACAAGGAATCCAAGAGGAGGGCAGCCTGGGCGCGCATAGCAACCAAGCTCAGTAATCCTTTGTTGACATCTGCCCCCTGGCACCCGCTCCCTAAGCCAAACGGCAGCTTCATGTCGTAGGTGAAGGCCACGTGCTGCCATATTGCCTGCTCGCTCTTCTCAGTCGCAGCAGTTGTGCATTCCTGGCCACCTCGGATACACCGTGCTCAAAACCTGCCATCGCCAAATCCCCCCCCCCAAGACGGAGTCCCATCAAGCCAAAGTCGTGGCTCCCATCGCGGCCCAGTGGCTGAAGCGGAAGGAAAAGGTCGAGTCCTGCGGAAGGCTCGCGGGAAGGCGAGGCTGGTACCATGCCAGAGTGTGGCAATGCGGACTACGAAGCGACCATTTTGCGGTGGCACATCGCGACTTTGCTATGTCAGTTGCATTGCGCAAATGGCATCCCAATGCCGTTAAGCCACTTAACAAGGCCCCAGCAACCGGGCTCTTTGAAGAAAATGTGCTACTGCCAACCATCATGCAGACCCACAAAACGCGCATCCGGTCCGAATTGCTGAAAGCCCGAAGGTCCACGTCCATGCTGGAGCTGTCCTGCAGTTGGAACCCTTTGGATTTGCCTTCTTTTGAGGGTGCCGTTTTTGGGGTTGGGAAATGAACTGGAGTACCACGTTTTTTGGGGGTCCCCTAAAAAACACACACACACACACCCATGTTTCGCAAAAACTGTCGGGCTGGCTTCTAGAAAACAATGACATGCAATCTGCTTTTCAAATCTCATAACCCACGATCTGCCAAGGTTTGCCTCGTTCTTTTTCTTGGTGTCAAACATCAGGAAGGATTCGCCGCTCTGCGCAAGGCATACTGGGCATGCTGCAAGCTCCATCCGTTAGAGACAACCCAGTACCAGTCTAGGACAGTGGAGGGCCAGCTTGCCAAGTCATGGTTTCGCCAGATGTGCGACAGAGACTGGCGGATCCGCGAAACCCGACGTGTACGCCCCGTCATGACCAGCACTGAAGATTGTCCTTAGGCGACTCAAGTGCATCAATTGCCTGCTTCCACATTGAGCAACCAGTATGCATCAGCACACAGCCCCACACACACACACACGCGCACACACACACACACATGAAAACACGTACCGCAAACAAGCTCAAACGTGCGCTGCCTGCTGCGGCCAGTGCTGACCAAGTGTCAAAGGACCCGAGGCTTCATCTCGACGAACCATTGACATCATTGTGAACCCGGTGTCCTGACAAGCACAAGTCGGTATGGGCCAAGATTAAACCACCAGGGGACCGCAGGTTTTAGTCACTTTGGTCCTTGTTTTGTCAGGGTTCCATTTTGGGTACCTGTTTTGACCCACACCCGAGTAGCAACTGATTCCCGTGCACCTGACACATCTGGAGATCGTGCCAAAGCTGCCCAAACCTGCCAAAACCTTCCGAAATGTTGGACTTACACGCACGTGAAATACTCGATGTACCAGCATGTCCTTGACCAAATCCTTGGCATCACCCGCGTCGATAGCGAACTGGGGGTTGTCCACCTCTGCCTTCTTGGACCAGTCTGGCCTCCCACGCTTCTCGCATATGCAATTGTCTTTTCTTTGTTCGAAGTGAGACACATACAAGCACAAACACAAACACAAACACAAGCACAAACAACTAGAAACACAGACACAAACAAACAAACAAACAAACAAACAAACAAACAAACAAACAAACAAACAAACACAAATAAACAAACAAACAAACAAACAAACAAACATACAAACAAACAAACACAGAAACACACAAACACACAAACACACAAACACACAAACACAAACACACAAACAAACAAACAAACAAACAAACAAACAAACAAACAAACAAACAAACAAACAAACAAAACAAACAAACAAACAAACAAACAAACAAACAAACAAACAAACAAGAGAGACACACGCGCACACACACACACACAAACCACTCTCAACGCAAAGTAGAAAGCACCAAACCATGAAGCCGTTGAGGCAAGTAGCCAAAAACGAGATGCAAAAACCAAAGCAAAAGGAGTGCACTCGGAAAGCCAGCATGTTGAAATCCTTCAAACATCCCTCAGGTGATCGAAGTTTCAGTGATCCCCCCCAGCGCCTGGGCCCGTACCAAGAGATCATCTTTGCCTCGGGATGCGTTCAAGCCTCAAACCCAAAGTTGGGCTTCACCCCGCGATGCACCGCGAAAAGTCGATGACGCTCTTTGAACATCTATGCGAAACACCCCCATGAGCTCATCCCTTGTTTTGATGTTCTTCATTTTATGACACCATCCATTTGGCCAAAAGGACCTACATAGAAACCAAAAGGCCACGCTGCGATGCTCTGGTGTTTGAAGGCTGACCTTGAGACAAAAGCAAAAGCACAGCACAGCATACCGCATGCATTATCCCCACACGAACCACGGAAACTAAAGCAAGGGGATACAAGGGGCCAACTTTGCACGTGTTGACCAAATCAGACCTTCGATGATTGGAACCCAGCTGAGAATCAAGCAGGAAAGCAGGAAAGCAGGAAAGAAGGAACGAAGTCAAGAAGGAACGAAGGCAAGAAAAAGACAATGAGAGAGAGAGAGAGAGATCAAAAAAGAAATCAAACACGTACACAAGAACTCTGGTACTGTTTGTGGGGGTGGATAGCTGCCACGGTTTTTCACCAATCTTGTTCCCACGTTTGCGGCGTTTCCCTCCCTGGTCCATTTAGGGGTGGGTTTAGGGCGGGTTTAAGATGGACTTAGGCCTGCCTGCTTGCTTGCTTGCTTGCTTGCTTGCCTGCTTGCCTGCTTGCTTGCCTGCTTGCTTGCTTGCCTGCTTGCCTGCTTGCCTGCCTGCCTGATTGCCTGCCTGCTAGCTTGCTGCTGGCTTGCTTGCCTGATTGCTTGCCTGCTTGCCTGGCTGCCTGGCTGCGTGCAGTCTGGCTTGCTTGCTTGCAGGGTGGCCGGAAAACGGATCCCAGTGGGGAAAGAGCCAATCACATCCCACCGGGATGCCACTTACCCGAAGTCACCTTTGAAACGCCTTTTGTCGCTTTCTACTGGGCCACTACCTCTCCACTTCGCCCCTGCAGGCCTGGCTTCGATTCGGAGACCTGCCCCACTTATGTCCCTTGCCGAAGCTCCTCGATTTCCAGATCCTCATCTTCGTACAGCTCAAAGGTCACTGCCTGAACATCGAGCGGTCGCTGCCGTTTTGCACTGCGGCAAAGCATGGAATGCCGCTGTTGAGCTCTCAGCTCTCTCAGGGCTCAGAATTTCAGGGCTCTCATTGACTCAAGGCTCAAATAGTGCCTAGCAACAGGATAGATTCGCATTTCTCGCGGGCATGAATCCTCGGACACGTTTGACGATGGAGCTAAAGTCGCCCTTGCTTGGCCTTGAGGGATGTCACAAGGTTGTTCAACCTGAATCGGTGTTGCAGGGCCCCCGTGTCAGTCTTTGCTCCGGCTCGAGAGCAAGAGTAGCACTCGAAGTGCACGTTCCAGCAGTCGCAACTTCTCAGAAGTTGTCTTCCCGTAGTGTTCACGCATTTGCGTTGTCTTCCCATCGCGTCCTCGCCACTGCCTTGTTGCTCGGTGCTCAGTCCAAAGGCCAGCGCTGGCCTTTGGTCGCCCTACCCACTTTTCAAGGCTCCAATCGAGCGCTCGATACGTCCGTAGTTGATACCGAGTGCGTTGTCGGCGACAAGTCAGGCATGGGCTGTTAGAAGCACGTGCACAGAGCCAGGCTACAATCATGGAAGCTGACGGGAGGGTTTTGCAAGATGACCTTCCTTGTAGGGAATGTTATCTGTCCACTTCCATGATGCTTGGAAAGAGGGTGCACATGGTTTTGTCTTTTTTAAGGCCCCCCCCCACAAAAAAAAGAAGTGGAATCCCTTTTGCTTTGGTGTCCCTTTAAAACCTACCAAAAAAAAAGGCCACCCCAAAAGCAACACGAGCCACCCACATGTTGCATTCGCCTTGCACCCTCCCAAAAAAAAAAAGAAGAAAAAAAGAGAAGAAGAAAAAGAAGGAGAGGAAACAAAAAGCCTTGTCGGACTTCTTCCAGGTGCAGCCCCGGACCGAGAGGTAGTTGCTCTGGCCAGTCTTGGCCTGCCCATCGCCCGGGTTTTTGGACGGCTTTATGAAGTTGACACCAGCCCACTGGAGGGATTTTTTGAGGTATGTCGCCTGCTTCTGGCCTGGTTTTGGGATGGAAAGGGCCAAGTTTCTTGAGGTATGACGCCTGCTTCTGGCCTGGTTTTGGGCTGCTCCACGTGAAATCAACTCCCGCCGGCTTTTTTTGCGGCGTCTGGACCATGTTGCGCCCTGCCTTGCCCGTTGGGCTGCAGGATCCCGGGAAGCCGCTGCCGCCTGAGCGGGGGCCGGCCGCACGCCGAAGCTCGCAGGAAGCGATCACTTGGGTATGCCAAAGGTTGGGGACTGCTTTCCTTTTGGGTTTCCTGCTGAATTCACCCACAGAAAAAAAACAAAAACAAAAAAAAACACCCTCACGTCGCCCACCTGACAAGCACCTAAAAGGGTGCTGGGCCCTGGGCAAGGCTATACTGGATTCCGCACTCTTGACAGTCCTAGTGCTTGACAATGAACTGAGCCGAGACATACAGCTTTGGCAACACATGGCTTGGAGCAACACTGTTCAGAGGAAAAGGGAAGCCGTAGTGCTCGGTACAGCCGATCTTGAACGGCATGGCGGATCTGCTTGGACTTGCAAAGAACCACCTTGCTTCTTGTCAAGTCGCTGTCGAAGCCGCAGTAGTCCCAGGCATTGTCGTCCGCCAAGGCATCCTGCACACTCTCAGCGACAAGCTCACCAAATGGCTATGGATCAAAATTAGACCGCAGGTTTAGCCCATGTTTCCATTCAGGGCAAGCCATTTTGGGTACCTACTTTTGACCCACACCCAAGTACGGACCTGCCCAGGCCTGCAGAGTGCTGAACAGCTTGAAGTCCACCATAAAGGCGTTGTCTGCGCCAGCCTACGTGGGCGGGTGCCCAAACAAGAGCCCCAATGTTGAAAACCCTCAGTTGCCCCCGTCAACCCATCGAGGGGACTGCTGGAAACAAAACGAAGAAAAGAAAGCAAGACATGACTTGGCCTGCTTCTGGACCCCGTCTGCTTGTCCCAAGCCGACAGACGAAGCAAACCATGGCCAACGCATATGCTTTCCACCAAGCCCCAGGACCAAATTAAAAACAAATCAATGCCAACCTACGAGAAGCATCAAACTATTTAAATTTCCAAGCCGGGCCAATCAGGAGCGAGGACAAACAAACACGCACAGAAAGAAACAAACAACTACACGAGAACCCAAACACCCACCAGAAACACAAACAGCCACACAGACACAGACACGCACAAACACTCGCCACACACACGCACGCACGCACGCACGCACGCACGCACGCACGCACGCACCCACACACACACACACACACACACACACACACACACACAGACACACACACCCGCGCGCGCGCGCGGGGCGCGCGCGCGCGCGCGTGCGTCCGCGCGCGCGGAGAGATATACGGACACACGCACTGCTAAGAGATACAGGCAACCTTGACATAGGATCAACATACATCAGCTTGCAGAACAGCTACATCGACATGATCCTACAGGAATCAGGCACAAAATGCAATCCAGCACCATCATCTGGAGTATCACACTCCACAGGTACAGCAGAAGATGAGGCACTGGATCACAAACAACACACACACACACTATACAGGCGGCGTGTTGGCACCATACAATGGATGGCATACACTCAGGCCGGACATCTGTCATGGAGCTAACGAGCCGGCAACAAGAAACTCAAACAGTTGATCAGGTACCTCAAAGGTACAAGACGCATGAATCCACAACCCAAGGCCAAAGATACGAATCCAGGACAGGCGAAGTCTACTCAACATCAACAATCGACACGTATGCCGATAATCACGATACACTATGGCAGCAGGACACAAGCAACAACGGCATGTTCATAAGCAGAGTCAGCACTGTGCGCAATTGGCACAGCAGCGCAGGAACATCTCTACATCAGAAACTAAAGGAGGCTTTCGAGGTATGCACCATCAGCATGCACACAGACACAGCGCGGAGACGCGCTGCTACTCATCCAATGACAGCCTGAGTCGCAATCGAAACCTGGTACTAAAATGGTCTACCCAGAACCATGTACAGGATTAAGAAGGCGGCCGCAGCTATTTATGGTTGGGATCGTCCCTGACTAGCCTTCATCTACCCGGGCTTTGATTGTGGCTCACCTGAACCCCTGAAACAAGCTAGCAACCCGCGCGAGAAATCCGAAACCCGCAGCTCACATTCAAGCCGAAAGCAAAGCACCAAGCAGCACAAAATGTTCAAGTGGGGTCTGCCCTTTGTCGAGGCTACCTTTTTCGTTGGCTGTACAGGGCAACCAATGGAAACCAAGGATTGGGGGGAAGCCGGTCCCCCTAGAGAAGGACATGCCCGAGCATGAATGTGCATGAAAGTTGCGTAACCCTAACGCTGGTGCTGACTCCCAAGGAATCCACAGGAACCCCAGGCCTGCCAGTCACAGGCCAAGGTCTTGTAAGGCTCATAGGTATCCACGTTTGTGAGCCGCCGGTAGTAGATGTACCTCGGAACATGGACTCCTCCCCAGCCATGCTTCAACCGGGGCTATGGCGGCTATGTGACTTTTCCTGTATATCTGGCTCTGCAAGAAGCCGACCGTGCGGTTCTTGACAATTGTGAATAGCAGTTGAGTCATAATAAAAACTCGGCATTAAAATGGTGGACCCAGAACCATGTAAAGAATTGAGAAGGCGGCCGCAGCTATTTGTGGTTGGGATTGTCCCTTACTAACCTTCATCTACCCGGGTTTTGACTGTGGCTCATTGCTCATGTGATCATGTTAGGTCCCTCGTTCTGGAAGATGACCATGCAACGCACAGAGCCTGGTGTGAAAAAAGAAAAAAAACATGTGCGCCCTCTCAAGTCTGGTGTCGGTTGCCAAAGTGCCAGTGCGGTTTCTTGGACGTTGGGTTTGGGGAGCAAAAATTCGCATTGTTCAGCAGAAAAGTGGTTGGATTGCCACCACTAAACCACAATAAGCCGAAATGTAAAAAATGTTTCCCCCCAAAAAAAAACATGGTTTGGTACCCCGGTTTCGATTGAATCGAGCCGCTTGTGGCTCTTGGAGCATGACTCGCAGGTCCGCTTGATGATGTGGTACCTGGCAAGGAGGCAAGGGCTGCAACCTGGCTGTGGCTCACAACATCGGTACCAAAATGGCACCTTGGTAAGTGAAACCAAAAACGAACACTTGCGTAACCCTAGCTCTTTAATTTTGAGCCATACCCACCTGCGCGGAGATGATTGAAGTGGAATGCTGGCGGAACGCGCCACGTGGCTTCAATCAGCTGGTCTTTCTGGCAGTGCCAAAAAACAAACGGACTGAAACGATGCCCAGCCCCGCCTGCTCTCTTGAAAGCGTCGGTTGAACTCAGACCCGCCCAGGCTCTTGGTGTGCCCGTCTTTGTCCACCGAGAGGCCCACCCTGAGCCACGGAGAGCAAGCAATCAGGGATTTCTCTCAAGTTGAGCACCAAGGCCAGCAAGCTCCATCAGGGCCGCAGGCCCCAGGAGGAAGGGTTTATTTTGTTCCTAGGTTCGGCGCCCTGGGTTCGGCAAGCCGGTCTCAACCCAGAAAAAAAAAGAACTTGAAAAGCAAGTCCAGACCCAACCCCTGGCTCCCACCTGAACTTCTGCGGCACAATTGGCAGGAGCATATAGTAGCTCACCGCGCGACCACCTGTCAGCTCGAAAACCGCGCCTCAAGGCCTCCAGGAAAAACTCCGCTGCAAAACCGGCGCCCCGGCGTTCCCAGATGGGAAGCTCGTCTTTTTGTTGAGGGGACCCCCTCCCCCTCCGCCGGTTTTTGGGTGGTTTCAAAGGAAAGCCAGAAGGAAACCAAACATGTTGGGGGGTCCCTCAAAAGGGACCTGGAAAATACAGTCAATGCGGTCTCACGAAACTGAAGAGAAACCATTGAATGGCCACACATTCACAACCTCTGCAAATCAAGAACAAAGCCGAGGCTGAGCCAGCATAAGTTGGAGAAACGGAGAAAGAAATACCGGGCAATGTCCATGAAGACTAAGGGGACCATTTGGATCAGCTTCCGTCTGAGTTCAGGTTTGGGTTGGCGGTTTGGAGGCCAGGCGGTGGCTTATGTTTGCCCACAGGAACCAGGCTTCAAATCCCCCAAGCCACCAATCCCAAACCAAACCACAAAAATTGGGGGGGGGGGGGGGGGGGGGGGGGGTAGCCCCCAACCCAAGCTCATTTGACAGAACGCGCAAGGAATCTGAGGGCCTTTGTCGATGCTGCACTTGCCGTTGGCGACACCTGTTGCAGGGAGCGGAATTCGTACTTCGTGGACTGGACCGAGTATTGCAAATGTCATCTGGCTGGGGTCAAGAATAGGTACGCAAAATGGAACCCTGGCAAGTGGCAACATGGACCAAAACCTGCGGTCCCCTGTGGTTCAATTTTGACCCACACCCATCTGAGAATTCAGGTCGCAGCCTGCGTCCACCGGCACGCTGTTCCACTGCTCGCCCACTGGATCTTTGGGCCCGCACTCGTTCGGAAAGCCCCTGGCGCGCTCTCGCCATCCGTAGCCAAGGTAGAAAATGTCCAGCTTCAACGCACATGCGCGACAGTGTTCAACTGCACTCTCTTCTGCCGCAAGGATATGGATGTGGCTCAAAATTAAACAGGAGGGGCAAACCGCAGGTTTTGGTACCCATGCTTCCACTTACCAGGGTTCCATTTTGGAATTCCGGTTTTTTGAGCCACAAGGATATGTCCTGTGAAGATCGAATGCATCACTCGAACGCCGGAAGCCAAGCACCAGCTGGGGCCCCAAGGAAGGCCACCCGGAACAAACGCGGCATGGTAGACCCAAAGGGCCCGAGATCAAACCCATCAGACTCGGAACCCTTGAGCCCCATCCCCGCCTGCCGCTGCCCTGGGGGCTGTAGGTGCAAGAAGTCCACGCGTTCTTGTCCTGCGGCCGTGAAGACTTGAGTGGTACATATTGTTTTTTGCTTCACATGTCATAACCGCATCGAACATATTGTTTGCTGTACACCAGTGCCCAACCCTGAAACACCGGCGCACTTTTGCACCGTTGTGAATGCCGCCCTTGACTCGTTCGGTGGTCCGCCAAGGCATCGTTCAGGTTGCTGAAGATCTTGAAATCCTTGCCTTGCACGTTCTCCACGTCCTCGTTCCAGGCGCATGCCAACCTCGGAAGGCGCGCACGCGACGGGTTCCGAGTTCCGAGTTCCCGCACTTGGCGCCTGCGGAAGGTGCGCGCCCGGCGAAGCGGCCGAAGCGGCCGAAGCGGCCGAAGCGGCCAAGCGGCGCCTCGTAGGGAGAAAACGACTTGAGAGGCGTGTAGCGTCGATAGAAGATCTCCTCGGATGCAACAAGGATTCAAGAAACACAGCCTGGGGCTGGAGGCAACACTTAGACGGACCCCGCGGCAAAAGCACGCAAGGCACAAGGCATACAAAGGCGCAAATCCAGTGCGAGTGCTCAAGTCCTCCAGGGTAACATATCTAGCCAAGGCTCAGTGTGCGTGGCAGCACAGGATGGGCAAATACGCTTGACAAGCGGATACGTGGTGTTCTTGTTGGTAGGCTCAAGCCGCTCGTTGAATTCCTAGGGCACACCAGCAAATGTGCCAGTCAGCTCACATTCTCTTTCGAGTGGGGGGTCAAATACCATCGCTTGCTCATTGCTGCCCCCCTCATGGCACGCGTCAAAGCCGGCTGGGTTCCGTGCTCATTCCGAGAAATTCGCAACATCTGCATCCCATCTCAGAAACCCCCCGCACTTGGTGGTTTGGATTAGCGGCTTGGATGTTCAGGGCTCCCGACTACCCTTGACAAGAACCAGGGGGTCAAATCCCCAAACCACCAATCCAACATCCAAACTACCACCCAAGCGGTACCTGACCATCACCTGCTTGTCTCAACACGTAGGGAAAGAACAAAAAAACAAAAGTTTAGGGATGTCCCGACATCGGATCCCTCACCACTCCCAGCGCTCTCGCGAGCTCGCCTGCTTGGTGATGGTGCTCACCTCCCCTTGGGGCGACTTCTCCAGGACCCGCACCAAGACGTAGCCCGCCTCCAGCTGCAGGGTGGTGTTGGTGGCGTTCCGCTTGCCTCGCATTCACCAACCAGCAAAGAAGCCCATGTGAGCACTGGTCACTAGACACCAGCTCACTGAGGCAAAGCTGAGCTTGCTGAGCCTCTGGACTGATAAGTCTGGAGGATGCAAGATCAAATGAAAGCAATCAGATCTCCAAGGCCAGGCAACAGCAAGAGCGCTGAACACCTGTCGGAACACCCCGCCTGCGACACGTGTTTTCGTAGCCTGCCAGGTCACAGAAGACAGCAACTTCCGTGGCGAGGCTTGCTCTGGAATGGATCTTGGCTCAACCGTCCACCCCAAACCCTCAGCCCCTGAGCACCTCCTCAAAGTCGTCCGAGTCTTCATTTGAGTCCTGCAGGAAGCAAGTCTGCGCCCCTTCCCCCCGTGCGCACCCATGCAATATAGCCTGCAGTTCAACAGCCACACGACCAAAGTGGGTCGTGGTGGGCCACCTTTTCTGTTGTTCCCACACTCCATCAACTTTCCACCTCCCCCTCCGTCCTGCAGCAACGAGGCGCAGCAGGCGCTGGAGCAAGGCTTGGCTGGCGCCTCCTAGCGATGCGAAGACAAATCCAGCAGAAAGAAGCATTATCCAAACACCGAACTGAAGAAGGGATATTACACCACCCACCATCCACTGAAGAAGAACACCGAACTGTTTTCATGTCCACCATCCACCATCATTCAAACTTTACTCCATTCCAATTGCATTCCCCCCAGAGGCTATCGAAACAAAGTGCTCGGCGCAACGGGGGGAAGAAAAGCAGCTCGCCAACAGGCCTAGCAAACCGCTGCAAGTGATTGCCACGTATCCAACCACATAAATCCGACCAAATGACCCCAAAAAGGCACGGCCAGGAAGAAATAAGCCCAGGTATCCCCATAAAGAACGCAACCCGCTCGACTCCCGGACCTATCTGGGCTTATCGACCCCGAAGCTTTCAACTAGGAAAAGCGTCCACGAGACTTCGCGGTCCTTGGGCAAGTCCCGGTAATCCGCCGCCGCGTGCGCCGGCTCGCAAGGTGACAGCTCCGGCAGCGCCGGCAACTCGAAAGGCGCCAAGCGCCTCTCCGTGACCGTCTGGCAAGCGGCCAAGGCCTCCAAGAATACACGGGGGATGGGGGCAGGCCCAACTCTGCTGCTCAGAATGCAAAAGGGGAAGGCAAGAGTCATTTAGCACAAGGACTCAAGCTGTTCTCTCGGCTTTGCTTGAAACCGCCCATGTTGTTGCAGGGTCTTGCTGAGCTTGCTGTGTGCCCACACACGTCTCTTCTTGAGTTGATTGGGCTTTTGTTCTTCAGTCCAGTAGTGCTGAATGAGTGCAGGTGCGAAGAATTTGCAGGATATTGCAAAAAATACACCTGATTCACTGCTTCAAATGGACACTTGTGATCATCGGTCGCGCCATGCCCTTGCATGTCAACGACTGGCTCCCTGCATGTCTTTGGTTCGCATTCTTTTTGGTGCCGGGTGGCTAGCAAGGGTTTCGCTCATAGGATTGCTGCGCCAGTTCGCTCATGTGCCTCAACGTCCTCCCTCTAAGAACACAAGCGAGTGTGCCTACATTCTAAGAGTGGAGGTACATACCCCTTGCTCATACCCCTTGGCTTCCCTGGTTTCCAACCACTTTATAGAAGGTATACCCCTTTTGGATACATACCTCGCCTCGTGCGCATCCTCACCTCGGCGGAGGCTGGAAAGTAGGCAGGCGACCGATGCCTTGGCCTTGCTGAGGCCAAAGTACTCCCGCTCCTCCCAAAGCTTTGCTTTTGCTTTGTTCAAGTTTTTGGTAGACAAATGGAGCCTGGGGCTTTGCTTTTGCTCAAGTCGGCGATCCTCTTGGGCTTTGCTTTTTCTTTCATGGAGCGCGCCTGGGGGAAATTCGGGGGAACTGGTGGCGGAAATTATTGGGTCACTTGCGAAGCTCGCAGACTACGTTGGCGCCGTGCTTGCCAAACAAATGACCTGGGCGACTTCCATGTTGGTGCGTGAGGAATCGGCGAATGGCCAACTACTTTGGCCCAAGCATCACTCGTCACTCGCCGGAAAGAAAAAAAAAGAAGTCTCGCAGCTTTCCCAATGTTGCCATGCCACGATTTTCTCCTCTCGTGTCACCATGACGCATCATGAAGTCAAATCGGCGAGAATATGCTGTGTCTTTGAAGCCGCTTGAAGCTCAGAAAGGAACTTTAATTCAAAAAGGCTTGGGTGTGTGTGTCTTTTTTGACCCCTTGTCTGTGGTTTTTACATGGGAAACCACTGTGTTGGGGGGTCCCCTAAAAAGAGACAATCTGAGTTCTGCGCTTCCCTTTCAAAGCCCGATGAGAGTGTAAAAGTAGAGGTGACAATAGAGACAGTTATACAGTCTCTCTAACAGCACATTGCCTGGTTGTCTCGGTTGACAAATTGGAGGGGCAGCGTCGCGGTTCTTTCCATAGATCCTTTCCAGAAAACCGCCGCAAACTCGGCGTCTGAAAAGAGGGTTGGTTGAAAAGAATGAGGGCCTCATAGCCCTAACTCCCTAAACCTAACCCAAACCCTCACCCTAGCCAGGCCTCATGTCCCACTTTCGGGTCCAACCACAAACCATGTTCACAGGGTCGCTTCGGTATGCACTGCTCCTCAAAAGTAAACCACCCTCACCCAACCAAACTGGCAGTGCGTGACATGGCGCCCAGTTTCCAATTAAATCTATGCTGGCAAAACGTGCCCCGGGCCATCAGTACGTTGCTTGCGTCGAGGCATTAGCATCTCCAAAATGATCACATATCAAAGGTGGGAAGTAGGATGTGGGAGCTACAGCCGGGCAAGCTCGAGCCAGCAAGGGCAGCTATCCAATCTCTCTGGCCATCTCTGCCAGCATGCTCCCTAGTGGGTATGCATGGACATCACCATCTTGCCGCTGAGATACTAAACTCGAGACACTTGGCCACCGCTTGCCAAATCGCCCACTGCTTCGCACTGGCGAAGTGGAGAACAAATACGCCAAGAGGTGGGCCGAAAGCGAACCCGGATCGAACGGGCTCCGTCCTGAGCCTCGATGGTGTCCATGGCAGTGTTCATGGCGTCAAGGGCCTTGGCCTCGCAGGCCAGGCGATGGTCGCAGGGCCGCCGCTGCTGCGCGCAGATTGCGCTGTCCAGCGCATCCTGCGCCTGATCGAGCCGATCACACAAACATATCCAAGCCAACGCGCTCGACGTACCTAGCACCAGTGACAGCACAGGCCGGACGAAAGCCTGGCACAATCACTGGCACTTTACGGTGCAAGGAGTGGTGCGCATGGGCAGCTGAAGTCCAAGTGCATGTCAACTTCTGGCCAGCCACGATAAAAGCAAGCGCGCGCAAAAACGAGCAGGCTTTCTCAGGTCAAGCCATAGAACAGGGACACATGCACCTCGCGCACCCCTTGCCGCACTTTCGCCCGGGCCTCATTGCAGCTCTTCCTCTGCAAGTGGTAGGCCTGCTCCAGGCTCTGGCAGTCGCGCTGGCAGCGCTGCAGAGCCGCCCGAGCGGCTGCTTCCTGCAAACGGCCTCAGCGGGAATCGATCGCCATTCGGCATTCCGAGATGCTCCGATGCACAAATCTCCGTGCCACATGCGCAGGTGTTGGTCATCTGTTTCCCCTTTTTACCAGGTCCCCGGTTTTGGGGAGTGAAACACAAGTGCCATTTACTGCAATCCCAGGCGGTTCTGGGGTTCCGGCAAGATCTGTGCGAGCTCCTCATGCTGTCATCCAGCAAAACCGCTTGAACTCCATGCCGGCAGTCCTGGCAAGCCATCAATTGCATGAACCGATAAAGGAAATTGATGGCTTGCTTGGTGTGGGTCAAAAAACGCACCCAAAATGGAACCCTGGTAAATCGAAACAAGGACAATATATGCGGTCCCTGGTGGTTTCATTTTGACCCACACCCATTGTCCTTGAATCCAAAAGCACAGGAACAGCAAATAAGGCTGGGGAGGTTCAGTCGCACAAGCTCAGAAAGAACGCTTGTTGAAACTGCCAAACCTGCCGCTAAGCTTGGCGCAAATAACCTGCAACTTCCGCAAAGCCAAAGTGCAAAGGGTGCAGGGGCATCGGGTACAAAGACATGGAAGGCACAAACAAGAACCAACCGCACCTGTCGGTTGCAGAATGGGTGAGGGAGGCCAGCGTAGCTCGAGCCGGTGTCAACGTTTCAGGCTCCCCAGCAAGGAAGGGAGCGATGTAAGAGCCAGGCAAGGGTTTGGCGAACATTCCCTACGGGTTGACGGCGAATGTGTGAATCGAAGTACTCCGTGCGGTGCCTTTGAATAGTGGCCTGAACCTTCAAGGACGCATGCGTCCGGTCGACCTGTGGCAGGCATTTCCAAGATGAAGGCTGGACCATCCGCCCAAACGGGAGAGTACCAAGCACATGGGTGTTTTTGTAGGGACGCCCCCCAAAAAAAAAAAAAAAAAAAACATGGGTTGCTTTCCTGTGGCTTCCCTACAAAAAGCCACCAAAAAGGGGTGCCTCAAAGAATGCCACACCCACATGGGAACCCTTGCAATAGGCGGATCTCTCCGGGTAAAACCCCCACGGGAACCCGCCTCGAAGCGCTCGCGGAGCCTTCGCAGCTCCTCCGAGCCGCTGCTGCGGCTCTCCTGGGCAGTTGGAATTTGTTGGCTGTGTTTGTGTGTTTGGTTGCTTTTGTGTGTGTGTGTGTTGTTTTGTTTGTTTGTTTGTTTGTGTGTTTGTTTGTTTGCTTGCTTGCTTGCTTGCTTGTTTGTTTGTTTGTTTGTCTGTTTGTTTGTTTGCTTGCTTGCTTGTTTGCTTGTTTGTGTGTGTGTGTGTGTGTTTGTTTGTCTGATTGTTTGTTTGTTTTCCGTTTTGTCTTTTTGTCTCTGTCTGTCTTTCTGTTTGCTTTGCTTGCCCTCTTGCCCTCTGGCCCTCTGGCCCTCTGGCTCTCTGGCTCTCTGGCGTCTCGCTTGTTGCTTGTTGCTTGTTGCTTCTCGCTTGTTGCTTGTTGCTTGTTGCTTGTTGCTTCTCGCTTGTTGCTTGTTGCTTGTTGCTTGTTGCTTCTCGCTTGTTGCTTGTTGCTTGTTGCTTGTTGCTTGTTGCTTGTTGCTTCTCGCTTGTTGCTTGTTGCTTGTTGCTTGTTGCTTCTCGCTTGTTGCTTGTTGCTTGTTGCTAGTTGCTTGGCTTGGCTTGGCTTGGCTTGGCTTGGCTTGGCTTGGCTTGGCTTGGCTTGGCTTGGCTTGGCTTGGCTTGGCTTGGCTTGGCTTGGCTTGCTTGCTTGCTTGCTTGCTTGCTTGTTTGTTTGTTTTGTTTTGTTTGTACCCTTTTTGGGGTGTTGGGAGATCAACGGGAAAACCAACTAAACAGATTCCCATTTTGGGGGAGGCCCCCTGTTTTGACGCGTAGCTATTTGACTGTTGTCCTTGAACAAGATCCGGTTGCTCCGCACACAAAAATGACCCTTCAGACGGGCATGACCCATGCACATTGGAAAGAGCGGCTCAAAGCGTGCTAGTGTTGACCTCATGTTTTGAGGCCCCCACATGTGCAACATTCCAATCCCAGAACGTATTTAGAACCCCCCCCCCAGCCTGCCCCGGGTAATTGAGTATTCCGGCCCTGCGATAATTCACCCAACTACCAAAAAAAGGCGGGGACCAACAGCCACGTGACGAATTTGCTGGGATCCGCCGATCTGCCGGAAGTTTCTCATTTCAGGCCCCCACATGAGATCGACTTTGGGGACGGGGGGAGGGTTTCTAACATGAGATCGACTCAGGGAGAACCGAGCACGAATAGGCTGATCCAAATGCCACCCACCAATTTGTCAACTAGCTACCTCTGTCCGTGAAAGGTTCTGGGGGTCCCTAGCTTTAGCGCATCAACACCAAGCCTGAATCCTACCCAACCCACGAGAATCTGCCGACTGTCAAAGAGCTACACACTGGGCGTCACTGCGTCGCGGCGCGCCTCGAACATCATTTGGGAAAGCTCCGAGTCAAGGGTCGTGTTGATCTGGCTCAACAGCTCCTGTGACGCTAGGCTTATGCGCAGACATCAAGTGCCAGCCTTCGCTTCCCAATCGTCACACTGGGCTGTGCATCCAGCTAGAAGTGGGTTTGTCTCAAAATCGGGGAACCCCTCAAACGGCAATTGTCCCTCAGGTTTCCCTTTAAAACCAACCAACCAAAAAAAACACCCCCACAAAAGACACCAAGAACCAGTCGGGCTCAAGAACCGCGGCATTTTCTGGCACCTTTTTGGGCGCACGAACGAAGCCGGACTTGACCCTCTCCTGGATCTTCTCCCCCGGCGCCGCCTTCCGCACCGAGCGGACGATGGCCTCCGGAGAGGCCAGGCTGTCCTCTCAAGGCGCTTCGGGTGACGCGAGGGACGCGAGTGACGCCGGTCGTGTCTCAACGTGGGAGCAAACGGGGAGGGGGGGCGCAAAACGGCCACCCCAAAAAAGAAAGGAAAAACGGCGGGGGCCGTCCACGTGGCTTCAATCTCTCCATGACAGGTCACCAAAAAAAGAGGCCCGTCTGTGTGGACAACCTATCTCACCGCATGGGGTTGATTTGCTCTTCAGCTTTTCAGACAACGCCCATCTCTCCTGGTAGAGACCGCTTGCTAGAGAGTCTTGCAGCTTCATTACCAGACCAGATGCCTTCGCCTCATAACTTCGGGCCACATAGAAGCACAGCTGCAGCGACAGCACCCGAAGAACTAGCCTTGCAGGGACTGGCACCTATCTACGAACGTTGACTCCATGTTGCTGCTCTCATGGATGCTCCCACTGCCAACTAGTGTGTGGCAGCAAAAGGGACAAATCGCAGGTTGACCATATTCACCTAGGAACCTTCGACTCCGGATTCTCAATAGAGAGTGCTCTTTTCTCCACCTCATTCTTGGGGGAGCATGGCTCTCTTTTTACACCTCTCTTAGATTCGCATCCCGTCTCAGACCCGCCTGACTTGGAAAAGGTCAGTCAGCGCCATAAAGATGAGCGCCGCAACTTACCTCGCGACTCGCGAGCGGGATGTTCAAGTCACGTGAGTCGCAACTCTCTGGAGGCACAAGCATTGATCTGAGCGGCCAAATATGGAGGGTGGATGCGAGTATTGATGCAGGTCACCTGAGCAAACAAGGTGTCCGCGCATGGGAAAGTCGGGCAAGTCAGTTTTAGACGGCCAAACGGGCAGCCAAATCACCTTACCGACTCAGACCAGGACCGAGATTGGCGTTTGGTCCCGGAACGGGATCCAAGTTTTGCAAAGAATGCCATGAACTGAATTTGGCTGCTCTCAAAGCGCTTGGTGCGGACTTGTGTTGTTGGCACTTGCACTGTGTTCAGGGGCGCAAAGATTGGACTCACCCGCAAGGTGCGTACCGGTCGCTCGCTGCTGTGACTAATCAAGGGCCTAGAAACTTTTGGAAGCTCAAACACTCCGCTACACTTCTCAAGCCCTTCGGGCCTTCGGATCGGACAGGTTGCTCTCTAGAGACTAAACACGACAAATGCAAGCCGCATGCTCGTCTGAGGCTGTCGGGTTCCAAAGCAAGCTCTGTTCCCACCTCTTGGTGCATGCCCGATGGAGAACGGCTTCTACTCAAAACATGCGCACACCACCAGAGAGTCTCAAGCAGAGCTCGAGTGCCACGCCGAGCCACGCTTTGCCGGGGGAGCGGGTGCCCCA